ATTTGCTTTTATTTAATTAATAAACAACGAACGAAAGGCAGGCGGCAGGAGATGCCAGAAGCAAAATAAGCGAATCACTGTGTTGGGGGATTTGGTAGTTATTATTGTGAATATTCATTATGTTGAATTATTCAGGGAACTCATTGAGTTATTAATTATTAAATTAAGTAAAAAATTTGTTCACTTTCGTTTGGAAAAGTTTTTGAATTTCTAGGTTGCTTTTAAGCGATGAATTAAGAGTGGAAATTAAGTTTGGGGGTATTAATGTATATTATTTAAATATTTAAAAAGGTTTGGTATTTACAGAATTTTTCTTTTTTAAAATATCTTTCCCAAGTTCAAATTCACTGGCAAATTAAGAAATTAAAAACTGAAGAGGTTCATTGACATGAAACGCCTAGTAATATCCTTCTTTTAACATAATTTGTAATATCTATTGATTATCTTATAATCATTATAACATTATACCTTATAATATTATGATTCAAGTATTTACAACCATTTCTAGCTGCTTTAATTATGTATTTAATTTAAAAATACATTCTTTAACTTCGCTAAAATTAAATCCAGTGACTAACTGTTTAATCCAGTGACTACCAGCTCATATTCAGTACAATTCCCCTAAAATCTGTGTGTGTGTGTTTACCCTTTTGGCAAGGATCATATTTTGTGGAGGAGGAGGGGTAGAAGGAAACGGAAATGAGGGCGGCATGGGCAATGGACATTGCGTGTGCGCTTGCGAGAACATAATCCAAAATGACAGGCAATGCAGTGATTATATTATTAATTAGTAATTGCATTGCAATGCGTATATTTGCACCGAGCAAAGTGTTTCGTTATACAGCAAGAATCGACCAAGGTTGCGTTTGGGGGTGGCTTTCGGGGAATTGGTAATGCCTTTGCCAGCTTGTTTATATATTTGATTTACGGTTTCTAGATGCATAATTACAGAGCGCTTAGTACGACTCCCAATGACCTGCCTTTCCTATGCACATCGGGTATTCGGCATTCCACGTCCCCTCTGGGGGCCATTATCATAATTTTTTCAACACCAAACATAAAACAAATAAACAAACAGCATAGAAAATATGCTAAATAACACATTAAAACATTATTATTTGTAAAAAAGGGAAAACGGGAATCCGGCAAATTGTTGAATTTGTTTCTTGGCACGCAAAAGAATTACGTACAGCAGCCGCCATTACTAAGTAGCATTTTGGCCCCCGCCCCAAAACACTCATTCGGCCATCCTAATTTGGCTGCTCATTGTTGGGCCAGACATCATTTTCATTTTCCTTTTCATTTTCGTTTTTATTTTTGAAAAGTGCGCGGCGAATGTGAAAATTAATTATACCAAGACTGAGACAAAGACTGTGAGTGAGGGGGGTTTAACAGCATGGGTTAAGAGCTCTATACATTGCAGACTGGGCATAGACTATTTAAGGATTGTTGCGACTCTCAGATCTTTTGGCGTTGATTGAAATACATGTGTAAGGCGGCAGCCAGGGAAATAACTGAAACGCATCTGTCATAAACCTATTTAGGTGGCGAATGCCATTTGCACTGCCCGAAAAAAATAACCAAAAATGGTATTAGAATAATAAAAAGATCAGTGAATAAAGTGAATTTAAAAAATTTAGTATTTTTCTTAGATTATTATAACAATTATTGGTTAATTAGTAATACCATTTATTCTACTTGACTTTCAACTGTTTTCCATATTGAATTCTTCCCTAGAAAAAAGTATTTAATTACCAGAAAAATCTAAATCGATTTTCCCAATTTTTTTCCGTTTTTCCTTTTTGTGTTTTGGCTTTTGGGCTATTTATGCGCTCTGTTTCTGTCATCTTTTTTGCCCCACACGCTCACGCAGACACTCTTAAATGTCAATAAATCATAAGCGGGTCGTCCAAAAAAGCAAAGCGAAGGGGGGCAACGGAGGGGCATTGAGGCAGTGCGACAGGGGCCATGAATCGCTTGACAAGTTTTGGATTTATATTTTTAGAAATATACATACATATATTTCCACATTTCGCCTTAATGAGATCTAGTGCAGAGATCAAAACATAACAAACAAGGCACTTTATTGACGCTATGAAAAAGTCTATGAAATCTTTAGCCAAAAGCGGAAGAATTTAAACCAACACAAGAATGAGATGGAAATACATATCTATTTATTAATGAAGATTTATGCAATATTTACAAAAAATAACGCATCGCGTCTCCCCCGCCATCCCCCAAAACATTAATAATCCCAGAGATACGGAATTCAAGAATCAATTAGATCATCGCATCGCACTGTCGGCCAGGCCGAAAAGCACTTGAGAAAATACGAGTAATCAACAATTAAATACGACGATGATGAGGGCCCGCATCCGCGAAAAGGCCATAAAAATAAAATTCAGGCATTTATAGTTGAGGTGAAAGGAAGGAATCCATTCGGGTTTGGCCCATTAAGAGTGCGCATAAGGTAAACACGGGAAATGCTTTATTGTTTATGAATGTATCTAATGAACATTTTCGGGGTGGCGGTCGCAACACTCCCACACACACACACTCATGGGATGAGTAATGGCCAATTGAGGGAAAAGGCCGAATATAATCGGTGAGGAAACTCACTCATAATCCATCTTCATCCATAAAATAAACAATTTGCGTATGCATCAATCTATCGGCAAGTACATAACCATTTTGAATTCCACACACTACTGAGTGTGTGTGCGTGTGTATTACGGGGTAAATTCGAAAATATTTGGCAATCAATTAATTGATTTTCAATATGAATATTTAGGTATTTAGATTTGAGAATGTGCATATTCAGTATGTGCTGGTGTTTGTTTACCGTGTACTTGAGCATTTCCTCTTTTCAATTTGATTTCGTTTCTTGTGGAGGGTGAGGATGAGGTGTGTGGCGTTTTCATGTTAATTTCATAATTTTTCCGCCACTCGGGGAAAATGAGCATGTCATATAGCAAAGGATAGAGGATGATGTGTGCTATGGTAACTGCACTGGGAGGAAAAATTGAATTTTGAATCAAAAAAGCGTTTAAGATCTTGTCAAAAACAAACTGTTTCAGGAAAAAGTCACTAATGCATTCATCAGTCTTTTCTAATGAGTGATTTTTTTTATATATAAGAAGAGAAATTCACTTTTATAATATAATAAATCGTATAACAGATAAATAGAGGATGAATAAATAATATAAATCAATAAGAATATTTTTGTAAATTATTATTAGTTTAGTTTTTCGCTTAAAACTACATATAGTAATTCCTAAAATTATTTATAAACAATTGACATCATCTTTAATGCCTATTGAAAACATTTTTAGCCCAATTGCTTTCTCTCTGTGCATTTGCATCTGTATTCTGTGTGCAGACATGCCGCTGAAATACTAATTATGTGCGCGATTTAAATAGATTTTTCATTTATTTAGCTGGCCCATCATTTCTGGATGAAATGGAAATGAAAACGAAAATGAGAGCCAAATGTTTTATGTTGCGCCATTGGCCTCAGTCAAAAGTTATGGGGGGACAGGGGAAAAAAGGGGGTCGATTTTTGCCTTTTGACGTGCGCCTGTCATTTCATCATTGCTCTTGTTTTGGACTCCGAAAAAAAAAAAATATAGAAAACAACGGCTGACTGACGGGGCGGAAGTGTTGCGAGTATATATTCGAATAATTCCGAGCCACGGGAGGATACACAATTCTCGAGTTATTTGTTGTGCGCCCACTAATAAGGCCAAATGGGGCATAAACATTCGTAATTATGTGGCTATGAACTGCCTCTTGACTCACTCAATTTGCTGATCTTTAATATTAAGAGAAATTTTTACCCTAAATTGGAAGGAAGTCAAAAGATCTTATAGTTTGATTTAGGAATTAATCAGCAATAATAATTTAAATAAATTTATATATGGGAAATATACATAGGTAGAGGATAATTGAGATTTTTTTATATAAAAAATGTAAATTAAAGATTTTGAGACTTACCAACGGATTGGTCAATAGCAAAACTCATCTTCTTTCATATCAATTGTCGAAATAAATTCGTTTATTTTTTTTATTATTAATTAGTTATCAAAGTTTTAAAAAGCGTTTTTGTTTTTATTATTTTCACTTTTATTTATTTTTTATTATTCTTGAACGCGACTAATTTTTTTAAGTGTGGCATAATAACGATCACAACACACATCCATATGCACAGTGTGGAGGAGTCAAATTGTAACCTCAATCTTCGCACACACTCACAACGATGTCAGTTTTCGCGCAATTTTCGCACGCACACACACACACACACAGAGACTGGGGCTCCAAGCCTCCGGCGGCGAATGCGACTTAAAAACCTAGTTTGCGTAGATGTTCTTATTATCCACGAAAGCAGGCACATTTAGTAAGCTTAACTAATAATAAACACACCAAAACGCACTTGTTTTAAGCTTTAAACACACAACTTTACACCCCGAAGTCCGTTTTCGCGCAATTTTCGCACACACACACACGCGCGCACTGTGGGGCTCCTAGCCTCCGACTGCGAATACGACTTAAAAACCTCGCCAGAGTAGATATTCCAATTGTCCACGATAACAGGCATATTTAGTAAGCTATACTAATAATAAACACATCGTTTTACACTTGTTTTATGCTTGAAACACACAACTTTAAACCGCGAAGTCCGTTTTCGCGCAATTTTCGCACACACACACGCACGCACATTTGGCCTGCAAGTGTCCGGCGGCGAATACAACATAAAAAACCTCGTAGACTTAGATATTCCAATTGTCCACGATAACAGGCACCTTTAGTAAGCTATACTAATAATAATCACACTGTAATACACTTGTTTTAAGCTTAAAACACACAACTTTACACCCGCGCACTTTTCACCAGGATGAAAAAAATCTAGCAGTGTTGCCAACACCAACCCAACGAAAACCGTAAACAATCGAACTGACCACGAATCTCTTTCTCTCTCTCTCTCTGTGCCTCTATTTTTGCAGGTCAAGATTTGGTTCCAGAACCGTCGCACCAAGTGGAAAAAGCAGGATAATGTCACCAATAACGAGGCGGCGGAGCACAAGTCCTCAAATGCGAATAAGCCGGGATCGACAGGAGCAACAACAACAACAGGTGGCAGCGAGCCAGCTGAGAAGAAAGTCGCCGCCAATAACAACATAAGCACGAGCTCAGCTGGCGGTTCGCCGCCTGTTGGCAATGCTGCACCGGCGGCTGTGGAGATCAAAAAGTCTCCAAAGTCTCCTAATCGTGGCAGCAGTAACAATAATAATAACAATACGCTAAATAACAATGTTAATAGTAAGCAAAGTACAACAAAGATTAAGAAACAATTGAATGCGCTGCTGGAGAAGACGGTCAAGGCGGCGGCAGCCACTCAGGTGAAGACAGAACCGCCATCGCCAACAGCATCTGCTGACCATCACCACCAGAAGGCGTCCTCCGCCGGCGAGAAGCGTAATAATAGTAATAACAACAATGAAAGTCAATTGCAAAACCAGCTGCTGCACCAGCGTCTGCACCAGCATGCGATTCCTCTAACCGTGGAACCGGCAGCGCCCTTGGAGCAGACCGAGAAGCTGGACATCAAGCTGGAGGAGTCACCGCAGCACAGGGAACTCCAGCTGAGCCTCCAACGTGCGGCCATTCAAAATGGTCAGCTGACGGAAATGGATTTCGAGAGCAAGCTGGCGGCCAGTAAAATATCCATTGCTCTGGCAATGGCCAATAAGTTGCAGCCGCCAATGCCCGAAACCCACGACAAGAAGCCGAACAACAGCAGCAAGCCGGACAGCGAGTCCTCGGGGGAGGATGACGACGAGGACGAGGAGGAGGATACGGCGAGCGAGCATGGCGGGTCCACGGAACCGCACGACGACTCCCAGGATCCGGATGCCACAATGCGGGAAATCTAGAGAAATAAGCCCAGAGAGACAGTCAAATTACCATAACTTGTGCCAAAAACGTCGAATATTGCTCACATTTCCCCCCAAAAAACATTTATGCAGAATCCCAAAAAAAAAACATAATTAAAGAAAATTAATTATAAACCTAATTGTAATTTAAATGTCGCGTAATCCGTTCACCCTTAGGCTTGTATTTAATTTATTTAATATATATATATTTAACGCTAAGAGTCCTAGGCTTTTGTAAATGTCGCATTTAAATAAGAGAGCTGCAAACTATACGAAAAAAAACAAACAAAAATTATATAATTGTAATCTGAACTTTCGAGAATTTCATGTGATAATGTATACGAGGCGATTACAAAATTGGTTTTACTAATTGAACTACATAAACTATATGGTATGTGTAAGCTGTGCTACCCTGTAAATGGCAATTTGAATGAAACATATTTATTGAGTGTTTGTACAAAATTAAGTAAGGCAACAAATGAGAATGACATAGCCCCGGGAAAGATTCTATAATAATATAGTTTAAAGGAATTTCGCAATTAACTACAATTAAATTTTGGGACAAACTTGAAGGACAACTTTCTCAGCTTAAAATAAAATCTTTAAAATGAATTTAATAAAACCAAACTGTACAAATTAATACATTAATTGATATGTCCTTTTCTTATCTTTCTTTTTTTCTTTTCCTTTTCTTATATTTATAGTTTTTATACTTAAAAAGAGCTTATTCTTAAAGTAATACATTTCTTTGTAAGTAAAGAAATTCCTAACTCTTTGCAAATTCCTTTAAATTAAATTAAAATAGAATCAAATTATAATGGCTGAATAGAATCCGCCATTACACATTTTAAATTCAAACAAATTAAACAAAACAAAAAGAATATGGAAAACAAAATAAACAGATTAAAATTCAATCGATCACAGGCGGCGCATTTTGGCTGGCGGGCGGGTAAACTGCTGCTCAGGAACATCGACCACGCCCTCGGCGGTAATAAGGAACTCGGCGAAATCATTGGGAGTCTCCGGGGAGTAGAGAATCTCCAGCTTTCTCACGGTCAGCAACTGATCTCCTGCCCTATGCTGCTTGGGTACACGTGACACCCTCAAGCGAGTACGTCCCAGATGGGCCCACTGCAGTCCCAGGCAGGGTATCTCCTCCTTCACGGCACTGGAGGCCACCTGATTCACGCACACCACAGCGCAATTGTACTTGTCAGCATAAGTGAGCAGAGCATTGGCCAAACGACGCATCTCCCGGGCTCGCTCCAGGTAATCGGTGTAAAGCCGGAAGATAGCCGCCACGGAATCAATGATGATTAGGCCAATGCCATGCTGCTGCATCAGGCGGGGCAGCCGATTCTTTACGCAATTTAGCAGAGGTTCCTAGAATAGATAAGGTTTGGTTTGATAAAATCTTTATATAAGGTTTTAATCACCGTTTCGTAATGGTGCTCTACAAATATGTTGCCTAGAAAGTTCAGCTTCTCCTGGGGATATCGCTTCTCGCAGGCCTTGCTCATCTGCAGCAGCCTTCTCGCCGGAAAGGCATCCTCCGTACAAATATAGGCCACACCCTTGCCCAGTCCCCCAGCTCGGTGGGCAGTTGGACACACAAGGCCAACTGGAGTAGGAGCTGCGTCTTGCCCACGCCCGAAGCGCCACAGAGTTCGGTGATGCCTCGAGTGACCACACCGCCGCCAGTGCACCGATCCAAAGCTGAACAGCCGAAGGAGATGCGCGACCATCTCACATTGGCCAGCGGTTTGAACAGGGAGTCGGCTAAAAGAATATTAAGTAATTAGTAAATACTTAAATCTGTTTTACCGCAGGATCTCCTACTCACCTGACTGTGGCAGCTCTGCCAGCCACTTGGCCGCTGCATCCTTGAGCACCCGCACATCCTCCGGCGTGCACTTACGGACCAGCGTGTGCAGCGATTTGGAACGCGTGTCCAGGAAGCGAACCTTCGGGGTTGTCAGCACCTCCTCCGGTGCCAGGACATTAACTGAAGTTAAAGTGGCATTAGCCGACACTTGTACTAAGTTTCGGATACACCCTTCCCTTACCTTGCTCCGCGATTTCCCTGATGTGCTGAGGCAACTGATCCAGAAAGTTTGTCATCGCCGCGGCTCCGCCAAGGAGTGTGTGATGGCATGTCCTCGATGGGATTGCGTGATTTGATGGCCTGGCCCACACGAAAGGTGTTTCAACACCTCGGGAATCGCACCGAAGCGGGGGTAGTATCGATCAAACAGCTGAGTAATCAGCGACGATTTGCGAAATAAACAAATCAGAGACCGGCTTTTGCATTCAATCAGCTGTTGGCGCCATTTTAAAACTAGGTCAATCGGCCATACAGTGGTTATCGGATAAGGGGAACTTTTTTATTTTATTAAGAGAGTACCATTATTATTTTAATAATTATTTATTATTGTTTCAATTACTTCTTTTTAAAAATAATATTTATGAATGCCATTATAAACAATGCTGAGCTCAAAAATATTAAAATTACGATCCTTCTCAATAAAAACAGAAACGTTTGAAAATAACTTTTAAGTAAATTGCAATTGTGCATCTCAATAAAGCATACTTTCCAACTTCGATTTTAGGCATACTTTTGGACCAATTATTTGATTTAAAGATCTCTGTCATTTCTATGGCATCCCTGTCTCAATGTTTACTATAATGAACCAGAAAAGGTTTACTTCTTCATTCTTTAAAGCTAGGTACACACGATGCAAACAATTTGCAGCAAAAGTTTGCACAAATGTTTATACTTATGCAAATATTGCAAGAAAATTTCTTGCTTCAATAAATTTTTGTTTTGCAAACTTTTGCATGTCTATTTCGTGCAATATATTGCGTCAATGTCTACTCGTGTTTTTATTTTTTGTTTGCAGTGCTTGCAAGTGATGCTCAATTGCATATGAATGCCTGAAAAGAGAATTTCTTAAAGTAAGTATGTAAATTAAAAATTCATTTTCCATTTTACCATCTGAAAACGCAAAAACTGGAGAATCGGTAGACGAGTACACGAAATTAGGTGTGGAAGGAGAAAAAGTGTCTTCGCTATCAGTTTCCGATACTTCCAAAATAGCTTTTTGAATTTTTCTGCGAAGCTGAACTCTACTTTGCTGTGATTTCAACATTCTGAGCTCAGATGCAACGAAATCGCCGAATACTTGATGTTCATCTGCCTTATCAAGTAAAGCGCTGGCCTTTCTAAGCAGCAGATCTTCCTCCTTTAATTCGAGCTCGTCACGCTTTCTTTTTTTGCCTTTGGATGTACTTGGTACGTCATCTGATATCGAAATATTAGCCGAACGTGGTGTCTCTCCTAAGATTGTGTTAACGGTGCTGTCACTTAGATCCTAAATATATGTATATGAAAAAATGTGAAATGAAAATGTTGCGAAATATTAATAAAATAAGTTATTACTACGATACTACTTACCAAATTTTCCATTTTATAATTTTTTTCGTCTTCGTTTTTTATAAATTTGAGCGCATCGAAAAACTCCCATTTGCTGGTATAGTTGTCCGATGTACCCTGGCCACTCTTCTTTTTTTTCACCCTGCGCACCTCTTGCAAGAATTGAGTGCGCAAATTGTGAATTTTTGTTTTGATTTCATCATCACTTTTTCCTAGTTCTTCAGCCATTTCGCAATAAGCATTTTGCTTTTTATGCTTATTTTTATAGTCTCTTGATGAGGCATCCCATAAAACGGAATGATTCTCGTACAATTCAATTAATCGTATTGTGTTCTCGCGATCCCACATGGTGCTTTGCTTGCTGCAATACTGCGACTGAAAGCAAACAGCACATGCAAACAACAGACGCAACCAAGCAGTAAAAAAATGTATACAGACGCCAAGCAAAAAATATTGCTGCAAAAAACGTTGCAAGTTCTTTGTTTACAGCAAAATGTTTTCACTCGTGTTTATACACAGTTTTCCATTTTACACGACTTATTTACCAAACACATGATATTATTTACACAATTATTTTCATTTTGTTTCAATCATTTAATTTCGAACATTAATTTTCGCACAAACATCAGAGAAAATCACAAGAACGGTCCGATCGATAGCCGTGTGTTATCGATAGATGGCGTTTGCGGCTCCTCCAGTCTTCCTCTTCCTTTCAGGCGAATGTATGTGTGTGTGTCGTGTGTAAATGTTGTTGTTGTTTTTTCATCTCGGTTTTAAGCTAAGGGAACTAAGGATCTTGGATCCTACATCAGCCTAGTTCTTGGGCGTGGGCTTGGAGAGCTCCGCCAAAGCACGGGCCTCGGCTTCGGCGCTGCGCTTCTTCTCCTCGGCGAGCTTGGCATCGCGGACAACCTTCTGCTGGGCCTCGATCTCACGCACCTTCTCCTCCTTCTTGGACAGGCGGCTCTGGTGAGCGGCACCGTAGGCGATGCCCACAAGGAGCAACGACCAGCGGCCGAACTTGATCAGCGGCGAAACGCGAACGGGAGCCTGCGACATGGTTCTTTTCTGGGAGTTATGTAATGGTCCAACAGGAACACTGCAAAAAATGGGGAAATGTTAATCACAAACTTTAACAAATGCGTTTCCTGTGGTACATTAGGCACCAGCAAAAGCTTTATACTCTTTTTTTTGTCCACTTTTTCTGTTAAAATTGCGAAAATTACCCAAAATCGAAGCTGATGTATAACCTTAAAACAGCTGTCAAACGAGAGATGGGAGTTAGGACGATTACGAAGAAAATCTATCGATATTTTCATCAAATATACCATATCAGTATGAAAATTAAATTTAGCGCGTTCGCACTAACTGTTTTTTTAATTGTAAAGACTCGATGAATTAAAAATATTGGCAGTCTATTACATATTTTATTCTCTTCGTTTGAAACAACATAGATTACTTGTATTAAAATCTATATATTTAATATCGCCAGAAACCCCTGTGGTATTTTCAGATAGACCGCACTTCGTGGTGCGACTAAAATTGCGCCAGCACGTTTTAGTATATTTTAAGTCTATAGTTATTTCGGACCAGTCGCGGTCACACTAACTTCTAAGAAAAAAGTATTTTGGTTTCCCGAAAACATGGCTAATTCCAGCTAATATCGGAAATTTGCAAATTCAGAACACATATTTTTCCGGAAAACAAGACTGCGGCTGCTTAGTACAAATCGTGGAACAAGTGCAAAATTGACGCGTGTTAAATGCAAACAAGAAAATTCCAACACAGACCTTGAGTGGCTCACACACACACAGGCAAACACCCCCTCTTTCACACCTGCCGTACACACTTGCACACACACACACATACGCTCGCGCACATAGATAAAGAGGAGTGCGAAAGAGAGGGAAGAGACATAAACGTTCCCTGTTTTTTGTGTTTCTTTACGAACAGGAAGTGTTTGTTCGCTTTTTTTTTGCCAGGATCTGCTGAAATCGGCAGCTGGCGATCAGAATAATGGTGAACGTACCCCCGCTACTCTGTAGCACACCGCCGCCCATCGATTTCGGGGAGGAGGACGACGATTCCGGTTTGCAGTCAACAATTCACTTGGACGAAAATGACGAATACTCCGAGTTCGGCTTAGTCAGCGGCGCAAAAGGTAAGCTTAAAGGGGTAAACATAGCCGGAGATCTCATCAGGAAAGAGGGGATATATTACGAAAAGCATAATGTATTGGTTTTGACGATATACGACCAAGGGTTTGGGATCCCTTCATTTAATACAAGTTAAGATCAGTTTTAGTTTAAATGCGTGTTTCTAAGTAAAGGGGAAATCAATTAGAGATGCCATCAGAAATTTTTGCTGAAAATACCACTAAAAACTGTGTTCAAAATGCTAGAATTGTGTATAAAATATTGATTTACACTCATTTGTTAATGGAAGAAATATAGTGGTCGAATCTTAACAGATTTCACAAAAATAATATTTAGTAGTAATAAAAATTAATAGTAACAAATTTAGTACCCTAAAAAACATTATGCAAGGCATCAATCATTAAATAAAAAACTTTAAATACTACAGAACTGTCACATTTATTTTATTACAATTATTTTCCTTATTTTCAGAACCCCTACCCTCACCGGATCCCGTTACGGAATACCGGGAAAAGCCACCGGATGATATGCTGGAAAATAAGCAAACCACCGTCGAGGCTTTTAATTACGAAGTAAAGCAGTCGATCGATTACGATGTTTATAGGGAAACGGCACCACCTACGCCGCCACCCTTAAGTCTAGAGCTTGACGAGGAAGTGGTGGAGGAGAATGGACATGTGGATAATGGAGAACACTTGGAGGAGGATGAGGAGGAGGAAACGAATACCAATGAGTCTGTGCCCTCCCTGAAGCTGGACAGCCTCAGTTTGTATTCCACGGAAAGCGTATCCGCTGCCTCAACACTCTCCCCCTTGGGGGAAACGGATGCGAATGCAGTTGTTCCAGAACCCATAACCAAAGCCAATGTCGTCCTTAGCCACCAAGTCACGCTAGAGGATGTGTCCGATGACAGCGACGAGGAGTGTTCGCCAAAGAAGCCCAAAGAATTATTTATACGCGAGGGAGCCAAGGATTTCTTTGCCATTGAGGTGCTTGCCACACCCACAATACCAAATGGAGACGGTGTCCACCACACAGAGGATAGTCCTAGGAACAAGTCTCTAGAGGATGAAAGCTTTAAAATGAAGGAACCACTAGATGAGCAGGAACCCAGCTTCATAGAGGAAACCATCACTCAGCAGGAGAAGCCAACGGAAGCCAGTGTCTTTCAGTTTGCAAACTTCGAAGCGGAACCAAAGATTACTACCGAGCAGAAGTCACACCAAGCGGAGCCGCAGGAAGCAGATGACGACGACTTTGAAGACTTTGGTGACTTTGCGGATTTCGCAGCTGCTGAACCCGAGGTTATTAAAGAATCCCTGACGATAGCAGATGCCCCTAGAAGAGATTCCACAGAGGCAACCCCTGTTACTTTCGTAGAGCCTCCTCAGGATGATGGCTTTGATGATTTTCAAGAGTTTTCCACTCCCGCAAAGTCAACGACACCCGTCCAAAACCATGACGAAGACGACGATGATGATTTTGGTGATTTCTCAGAGCCCGCTGTGGCTACCATTCAAGTACCTCCACCACCGCCGCCAGCCACTGTTCACCTGAGCCTCGATGAGCGGGTGAAGCCAGTTCTGGAGATGATGTTTCCTCAGTCCAAAGAGACGGTCAGTACGAGTCTGGACAAGCGTCGACCTTTGGCGCAGTGTCAGCGCTTTAACTTTGGTGCCATCGAGCATGCTCGAGCTCTGAAATACGAATGGGGCAGCTCGGAGATGAGGCATGCCCTTGTGCGATCGCTGGGCATTGATTCGAGGAACATAGTGAGTTAAGAAGATTGGAATCTATACGATATCAAACTTTTAAAGAAGTATTTATAAAACATGTTATTAATGGCATTATTTTTTCAGCTCTTTGGTGATAAGTGGAACTCATCGATGCCACGTTTTGCAGCCAACTTGAGCTTTGATCCTCTAAAGCCGTTGAAACCATTGTCGCCTGCCAATGCCACCGCCACCGCCAGCACCTTGGAGCCCACCGTCGCCAGCAGCAGTAGCACCTATCAAGGTGAGTGTCCTTGCAGATCTCTTCGAGAGATTGCTTCCTCGTATAGTTGCCGCAAATTAACCGCTACACAAGTTTCGTAAATCGAGAAATTGCTGCCACCCAAACAACCGCTCGCTCGCTTTCCGTTGCCTTCCCAATATCCTTTTTTACCACCCAAGACACCACACACACACACTCGCTTTCCCGGATTTGGCCTGTCGTTCGATTGAAATTGGCTGCTCCTCTTTTGCGTTGTACCTTTCTTCCGTTTCGCCTTGTTCTTTTGTTGCCCCTTGTGCCACAGTTTTACTAACTTTTTTATAAAAAAAAAAACAATACAAAAGTTTATCCTTACGATAACAAAATGTATTTAGAATCACATGTACAGACTTTACAATTGGAACAACTAGACCAACTACTAAACGTGATGGTGGCTAATGCTGATAAAATAAATCTTGTTACCTCTACCTCTAAACACACCAATAACAATAACAACAACAACAATGATACTGATGATGATGGTGATAATAATGGTGACAACGATGTGGCTGCTGCTCCGCTGGATGATATACCTTTGCCCTTGATGGATTTGATGCCCCAAAACAATCACAATTTGACTAACGATTTGCACCACAACTATTCTCCCCCACTCACACATATGAATAATAATAATAATAATATTGATAATAACCATACGAATAATAACAATTATGCAAACAATACAACAATTAACACAAATCTCACTGCTCACTGCGACGCCTTGCTGGATTTTAGTAAGTTTCGTTGGCTCTGTGCGTGTGTCGTAGTTGTGTTTCCACCTCTTGTTTCTTTATTTTATTCAGTTTGTTCAGTTGCCTATATACTTCCAAGCTCTATCTCAATCCCAACGATCCACAGTTCCCCCTAGTTCTTGTTACTTTGGCACTACAAAGCATCCAATCTCCGCCAGCACAATGTAGACCCTACTACTCCTTACATTTTCACCTTTTTACTTAGCTAGAATACAAGTTCATACTAATAACCAATATTAAATATAAATATATATTCTTAGCCTAAGATTCAAATGCTGTGTTGCTCTCAAATGGATCAAATTCAGGAATTCTGAATTATCAATGCAAAATAGAGAAAGCAATAAATAATATATCGAAGATATCGTATATTTCGATAAATCTAAATGGAAAATATCGAAAAATTTCGATTTTAACCGTTAAATATCGATATAATCGATCAAAATATACAAAAAACATACTATTAATTGAAGCAAGCAACACAGCAGATGACCCTAAATCTAAGCTTTAAATATTAATTTAAATAAAAAATATATATAATGTAAAATATATATACAAAATTAAATAGAGAGCTTCCCGCAGTAATCACATTTCTTCTCCTTTCCGCAGGACTGGAAACCGGCGCCGGGTCCCAAGCGAGCCAAACTGAAACGCGGCCTAGCCAGACTCATGGGAAAGGGATCTTCTGCAGCAGTACCGCCTCCAACGGCGAAGAGCGACCCAAGGCCCAGACCGAACCAGAGCCAGAATCCCAGTCCCTGCCCAGCCACCATCATATTGAATCCCCAGCAGCGGCATCAGCAGCAACTGTTGCTCCAACAGCAGCGACGCTATCGCCTGCTCTATCAGCAGACAGCCCTGCCCACCAACTCAACGGCGGTGAGCAGCTGCATCAGCAGCAGCAACAGTCGGAGCCGGAGCAGTTTGATTTGAGGGCCACTCCATCACCCACCCAGCCGCCATTACCGCTGCCAGCGCAGGAGGAGATTATGGGCAGCAGCTCTTCCTCCATTGCCAGTTACGCAGTGCCGCTGAAGGAGACCCATATCTATACACCCTCCAAATCGGATACGGCGGTGGCCAAGACCACAACGCTGGCGCCCATTGATTTCGACTACGAAATGGCAGCCACTGGCATTATCATTGATGAGACTGTGGTGAAGAAGGAGTATCGCGATGTGGAGTACAAGCCACCGTTTGGTCTGGATTCACCCAGCAAAGTGAGTAGCTTTGATATGCCTCCAACGCAGGCAGCAGCAGCGTCGACAGAGGATGATGACTTCAGTGACTTTCAATCAATGCCGGCGGTGCCACGTTCAAGGCTAGATACGCCCACGTTTGGTGAGCAGATGATTCTCAGTCCAGCCATATTGCTGCCACAGGCCATTCCGCTGGCCAAGAAGGCAACATCATCATCATCATCAGCTGCAGCAGGAGCAACAGCCTCTATAGAGTGGGGCGACAATGCCTTGGCCAGCATTAATGCCGAGGAAATGGCCCGCATCGAGGAGTTATTCTCATCTCAGACAGCCAAGCCGCCGACGATAAGCGCCTCGGTGGCCAAGAAGAAACCTTCTCCAACGCCAGCTCCAACTCAGGCGCAAGAAGATGACGAATGGTCGGATTTTGTGTCAGTTCCAGTGGCAACAACGCCCCAACAGAACTCTCCCCGCATCAACAATAATAACAATATCAACGGCAATCCCAGAAAGGCAATTGCAACAGCAGCAGCAGCTGCAACTGCACCTCCCCCAAAGACGATGATTGGTCGGATTTCGTGAGCAGCACTCCAGTTGCTTCGGCGGCTCGTCCCGCGCCCCAGTTCAATTCGGGTGCCTGGCAGACTGCTAATTTCTACAACAATCCCTTGAGTCTCTATCAGGCACAGCAGCAACAGCAGCAACATCACAGCAATCTGATTCCCAGTCACAACAACAACAAAAACAACAACAACAATGTGCCAGCAATTCCACAACAAATCCACATCATGCATGACTTCTCCACGGCACCCGTCGCTGGCGGTTTGATGGGTGTGGGCACCACTGCCACCTACCAGCAACACCATCAGCGTCAGCAATTTCAAATTGGCAACGCCAAGGTGGCACCACGCATCTCCCTTATCCCCGATCTCAGCTTTGTGGCACCGGCCTTGCCCACGAATGCGGGTGCGTTCATGGGATCTTTGCCGAAACCGAGCTTTGGCGGTGGCAAGAAATGACACAAGAAGTTGAGGAGTGGCCAGCAGCAGCATCAGCAGCAGCAGCATCATCGTCGCCAGCAGCAACAGCCTCCACTGGGTGGCGGCGGTGGCAGGGGCGAAGCCACCATCCTCACGTAGGGATTACGTAGGGCTAAGAGGAGGAAGGCGGCCCGTAGGAGACAGTCAGTATTATGAATCCGTCTGATAATTACCATAAACCGTCACACACACACGTACTTAGTTTGGTGCAAGCGCTGTGTTTTCATGTTGTTGTTGATGTTGTCGTTGTTGACGCTGTTGTTGTTGTGCGTAAATGTTGTTGTTGTTGTTGTAGATCGTAGATCAAGATTCCAAAATTAAGAAAAACAAAATTACTAAGAAAGCAAAAACCGACTCCTTTTGTGCAATAATTGGATTACAAAATTAATTTTTTTACTTGATTTTTGAAAAGAAAAAAACTGAAGACAGGTCTTGGACCAAAAAATATATTTTATAATTGATTTTAACCTTTATAAATTTTCTTTTATTTGTTGAAAGAATTTTATCATTTTATTTGTCTACAAAATTCTGAATGTGCTAATTAAGAAAAGGATTTATTGTATTTTCTGATTTTAAACTGTCAAAATATTTAAACTTAAAATCAAATTCCTTTTAAAACCGAAATTTGAAATTAAAAAAGTGATATTTCTGTAAAGGTGTGACTCAGAAATTGCTTTATATTTTATATTAATTCATATAAAATTGGAAAGTAATGCTTTACTAAATTTAACATGATAGTTTTCAACCGAAAACATTTGCTTGTATACTTTTAAATGATTTCTAATTGATTTCAAATCCAAAGCCATTTCTTGGTCACCCCTTTTATCCCACATTGGTTTAGAAACTAAGAAAATTATGATGTTTTATAAATATTTCCAAAAACTAGTAGAAATTTTATAAATTGTTTAGATTATTCCCGAAGCTTTGCTTGAATTTAAGACAATTTGTGGTCATATCAAGATATCAACTTAACAGCAAGCCACAAGATATAATAATATAGTTTTCAGAATTTCAAAAACGTTTGTTTTAGAAAAGAAAACCCCCTAATAAGTCTTAAGTATAGTTTTACCTCCAACGACCTCACATTTCGCTTAGATCAGGCTCTAAAAATATCGAAAAACCATTCCACAAACGAACTTCCTTTGTTGTCACGAAAAAAAATACTCCAAAAGCGAATGCGGGGGCCACCCAATATTATTGAAGGACTTGAACCCCAACCCGCCTGATGCAAACTTTTCTATATTGTGTACTTAAACGAGAACTCTAACCAAGCGAACATAGTTAACGTTGTAAATGTATTTAGGATTCGTTAGTTGATAGAACAACTCCCATTGCATTCCAAGTGTAAATGCGCTGAGGCGAGAGAGTGTACATGATGATCTCCAAGGAAGTAGTTTTCCGCTGGATAAACCGAAACCCAATCCGCTCCAGTTCTTAATTGATTATTGTTTGTTTTCTTTTGTGTTAATGTGTGTTTTTTTGATTTATTTATTTTTTATACTTTATGTGTTACGCACTTTAAGTTGGATGTGTGTGTTTGCGTGTGTCTGTGGGTGTGTCTGGAAATTATATAAACAATTTATCAACTAAAACTAAGTGTATATGTTCTTAGATATTAACCTGTAAATTACAGAATAGATTTCTCATTTTCGTTATGTTTTATTTTTCGCCAAGTCAATAATATGAAAGGAAAACAAGAACATGATTATAGAGAGATGGTTGCTGCTTGATTTAAATAAAATTAATTAACTATGTACTAGAAAATATAATATATATATATGTATATGTATTTACGATATTGTATAATTAAAAAAGATATGCGAAGAATAAAAATTAAACCTATTTGAAAAATGAATTTAATATTGGAGCATTATTTGAAAAATATAGAAATGAAAAAGAACTATTACAGAGCTCATTCAATATACGTGATCGAAATATTTGGCTCACTTAAACGATCTTGAGTCAACCGATGAGCATATTGATAGGGAATAATGATCATCGGTTGAGCAAAGATCGATTTAGAAGCGTTCTTAATGAGCTCTGCTGTTTGGGGTACAGGATACAAAAATGTGAAGCCAGATTTCTAAGGACGGGGATCTATAGTTTTTTTATATATTATATGTGACGTGAATATGCGTTTGAAACCTGCATGTGAGTAGAGAGATTATCAAGTAACTCGAAGCACTAAGCACTGCTCTCCTGGAGAAGCCTCGTGTTTAATGGGTATGTCCTAAGTGCTGTGTGTGGTTTTTATGATTTAAATCAACGATACAGTGTCAGTTCCTAAAGGGCGGGTGCGAGGGCGGTGTATATAGCTCTATGGCAGTAAATAGTACATAATAATAGTTTAGAAATTACACATGTATCTAATATAAATATCTAATTATAAATAGTGTTATCGATTGATCTTTCGAAATCATTTCTCTCTCTAAATGGTCAACAGTTTTTTGTTTTTTCATTCTTTTACATGCGTTTAGTAATTATTATCATTATTATCTCTGCTTAATTTTAGCCTTGCTCTAAACATAATGAAACGCTAACAAATCCAAAAAATATGCAGTGGGTTGGGTTTGATCTTTGGGGAACCGAAAAGGGAATCGATTTGGGAAATCTCTAGGTTTTAATATCAATTTTGAGTCATTCTAGAGTCTAGGTCTTTCTTTAAATTTATGTATTTTCTTATTATTAATTTCGAATTGCATTTAACAGAGATTTTGCTCTACTTTTTCGCCAAATCTCTTGTGGAAAACATTGATATTATTCCCTTTCTTCGATAACTTCGGTTACTTATCGTCCCAGCGATCGAACCGCATCCTTTTAAATCATGTGGGGGCGGTGTAGTGTGTGTGTGTGTGTGTCGCTATCCGTTATGATATTTGAACTAACAGTTTTTCATACTTTTTTCCTCAAAAAATAAAATCTATGCTCGGGGATGCTGCCCAAGGAGCAAGTCTCCAGATTATCCGTCCACGAAAACAGTTCTCCTTCCTTCTCTCTGGCTTAAGGCGATGCAATCTACGTATATAAAAGCTAAGGTGAAGCTCCTCGAGCTCAAAGATTCCCTGCCTTAAACTTGGTACAAAAAAAAAGTAGTCTTCGTTTTCAAGGCCGAACCGCTTCCCCTTTCTCTTGCACGCACTCCCCGAGAACTGCTCGGCCTCAGAAGGCCAGCCAGGGATGATGCAGCAGCGACTCCTTGGACCGATCTCCGTAATCGTACGTCAATTCCTCGCCCGGCTCAATGTCGTCTTTGGCCAGGAGCACCAGGTGTGGGCGCTGCTTGATCACAACGACCTTGGTCATCAGGTTGCCGTTACGCGAATGATTGATGAGGCGTCCCAGCTTGCCGGTGTCAACGGTGGCATCGATGCAGTACTGCTGAGTCTTGTGCTTGAAGTAGTACATGTAGCAGCCAGCGTTCTCATCCAGCGCATAGCGCTTCTCTCGCTCTGAGGCCTCGCTGATGGAGATAAGATCACCGACGTATTCTACGACAAACTCGTTGCGCTTGAAGGCTCGTTCGGCGACCACACCTCGGCCCTTGCCCATGAAGTGACGCACCTCGAGACCCTCGCAGCGCTCCTCGAGAACGGCCTGCTCCAGACCTCGCATCCATTCCTCCTTGACGGCTGTCTTAGTCTTGCGTACGCTTCTCCGGACAGGGAAGAAGTCGGTCATCTCACGGTTGCCATTGGTGGCAGCCAAGGGAAGCGGTGGCAGTTGGCCTTTCGCTGGCCCCTTGCTTTTGGCCTTGGTCTTGGAAACGGGCGGTGGCTTGAGCATGGCTTTTACGCCCATAATGCCCACTTTGTTGCTGTTGGCTGTGGCTGGTGCTTTGTTCTGGTTCTCCCGCTCCTCGGCGGCCTTCATCAGGGCATGACAATCGTCCTCATCCTCCTCCTCTTCGTCGTCGTCGTCGTCGAGCACCACAACGATGTCATCCTGCTGCTGCTGCTGTTGTGGCGGTGGTTTCTTTAGCTGTGGTTGTTGTGGCTGCTGGTAAGGCGCTTGTGGCTTTGGCTGGTTCAGTCTTCGTCGCGACTTGCAGGCGGCCACCGCCGCCGTGGTGGCAGGCAGCTTGCGTGGTGATTTGCGCGGCGACAGGGGATCGGTGTTAACTGCTCCACCTCCTCCCTTGCTAATCAACCCGCCGCCCGCCGTCACCTTCAATGCGGTCTTTATCGGTGATGGGCAGAGTATGCGATGCGGTGTGGCTGGCTTCCGGCGACGCACAGCTCCCGCTTCCGCCGCTGGTGATTCCGTGGTGGCAGTAAGTCCGCAAGCTACCCCACTGTCGCAGGAACTGCTATCGTGCTGGTCAAGCTCAAAGTTCGGCAAAGGCAGCACCGGTTCTTCCCTTTGTCCATTCAGGCTGACAATCTGATTGAAGCGTCCGTTAAGCACACAGGCATTCAGCACAGAAGGCGGCGATGAGAACACTCCTCCGGCCACCTCAAAGCTACGATTGATCTTTATACTGGACGCTTTGGTGGGCGTTCGATCAATGTCCAGGGTAAGCACGGGCTCCTGCAGGAAGATGTTGTCTGTGCTGCTGCTGTGCGTGGAACTGTGACTGTCCCGCAGCGTCGAGCGGTGAGTCTGGAAGTCGGCCATGGTGCCCAGCACCTCCTGAATCTCGTGTATCTCATGCATCTCTTGGATATCCTGGATTTCTTGTATCTTCTGCATGGCCGCCACCTCATGCTGGTAGGGGCAAGGCGAAGTGGAGGACGCAGTGGAGCTACCATCGAAGAGAAGTTCCTCGACGACCTGCTGCAGCTCCTCATTGAGCTGCTCATCCGACAGTTTAAGTTCCTCATCAGCATCGGCTAGCTGTATGTGGAGCTGCTCCTCGTCTGCCAACTGAAGGTCCTCATCCTGCAGCTTCAACTCTGTCTCCCCAGCCGCATGTATTGTCTTTTGCTCTGCTTGGTGGTTATCTATGGAAGTGGCCATTTGTGAATTTGTGGTATGCTTGGCGGCGGCGTTGGCTTTGAAAAAGTTCTCGATGGTGCGCGTCTGCGAGCGAGTGGCCAGAGGCACCCCTGAAATGATGGCCAATATGTAAGCTTTGTAAGCTAACCTCAAAACGCGGCGACGCGACGCAAACACTCACCTATTGTTCGGCCCGCTGCCTTGCTGTCTTTGTTGTTGTGGTTGTGGTGATGATGGTGGCCTCTGTTGGCCGCTGTGGCTTCCGGCAGATTGATATTTTCGCTGGCCTTCATCAGACGGCAGTCTTTCCGCTTCGGACTTGCAAAATACTGATCCTCCAGCAGGCTACCCGCCACAGCGGTGGCCGCATTGAGAGGCTGTCCCTCGGGGATTGCTGCCCCGCCGTGGGTGTCCTTCGACTCCTTGGCGGGCCGTGCTCGTCTGCGCACCATTATCATTGGTGTGGAGCGTAGGGGGGGCGCGCGTGATCAGTGGGCGGGCGGCAGTGGGGTTGGCACTAGTTTTGTTGGCGCGTTTTTCCTGGACACGCGTTTCTTCCCCCGTCCCTCACACACACTCACACACTCGTGGAAAGCTGACTGCAATTAGCTGAGTGAAAAACAAAAAAAAAAAACGGAGAACTCATAAAACATTCGCACACACTTTGTATATTACATGTGTGTTTTTTTTCGTCGCCGTTCTCCTCTCGCTGCCCCTCTGCGTACAGTTTTCGCCACAGAAAAAACGTCGCCCCGTTATTGTTGTTACTGTTGCTGCAGCTGCTGCGAAGCGAGCGAAAGAGGAAGAAGACCACAAGAAGAGAATGAAAGTCCGCGCCGTTGTTTACCTCGCTAGGTATAGTGCCATTTTCTTAATTATTTTAAATTAATTATCGCTTATATGCAATGGCAGCATTTGGCTAAGCAATTAATCGCGTTGCTGTTGCACTTTTCCGCAAACTTTTTTTGGTGTTCTTTCTCTCTCTGCGTCGGTACTAGTGGTGGGGCCAGGGCGCCGATACTATCGGTGGGGGAATTCGCAGATGCGAGTACCACGGTTTCATTTTGCGATAGTTTGGAGGATATTTATAAAAGTTTAATGTAAACCTTTTCTAGTTAAAACAATTATGGTAATAGAAATAATAGGTATTTATCAACTAACGTTTTTTTTAAATCCATAAATATGTACAATAACATAGAATGTAACCACTATTAGTATCTGTAATTAATACACCCATCTATATAGTACTATAAATTCTAAGCTTAGTTTTAATAACTACAAATTAATTCACACATGTTATCAGTTCTCATCAAACATAATACCTTTAATTATATAATTCAAAAATTTACTAAATAAATATTGTTAATATTAAGCAGATGGCCATTGTAGCTATTGCTATTGAGGATAATTTCTTTATAATAATAATATGAATTTATTAATGTATAATTTATGGTGATTTTTTACTGAACTTTAGTTTAAGTCTCAAGAAACGAATATGGCAACTATCGTAAATTGTTTGCAATAGACCTATTATTTTTTAATTTTAATTAATTTTATTAAATAAATCTTTGATTAATTTGCTCTTGGACTAAAGCAAAAACATATAATTATTCACGAAATAATAAAATATTAAGCAAAAATCAAAATTGTTCACACTTTGTAGTTGCCGATAATTTCTTTATGATAAACATAATAATATTAATAATAATAAAAATAGTAATAATATTAATAATAATAATAATAACAATAATATTAAAAAGTATTTCATTAATTTTAATGGTAATCTTTAACTGAACTTTAATATAAATATCGAGGAACATATATTTCAACTATCGTATTTATTTTTGGTACACACCTCCAATTTTTAAAATTTTTCATAAAATGCTGTGATATATCTAAAAATTAACAGCACATTAATAAATTTGCTGGTAGAGCAAAGCAGATATATATATTTAATTTCCTAAAGTATACATTTAATAGTTAATCGAATACACTTGACCTTTTGAATGTTTTTATTCCTATGATTACGATATTTTTGTGATCGATATGCGAGAAGATCCCGATCTCTTCTCTTTACATATCATTTTAATTTAAGCATTCGATGCTTTAAAAACCTAGGAATAAACTCTCTTGAAATTAAATCGCTACTTGTTTACCTAAAAACAAACTATTAATCCGTTAATAAGTTCTCATTTCTATCGGTCCCTCGGCTTCGTCCGCATCCCTTGGCTTTTTCGCGTCCGCGGAGTGCGGTAACATTGTTTGCATTTTCGCTTTTGGCAAAGTAAAAGATTCGCGCGTGAAAATATTCCGCGCAGAAAGAAGTTAACAATCCAACTCTAATAATTATAATACAGCAACAACAATATAGTTAAAAGTGTCTTAATAGTGTTGGCCACCGAACGCGTGTAAATGTGCGCTGGATCGCGACCCGCCAACTGTGAAAAAACCGTTTTATTTTGCATGTCCAAAAAGGCGTGAAAATTTCGGCGCCTTTTGAGTTTTTGTCACTGGCTGGCTAGCTGGCTGGCGTTGTGAAATCTCCAAAGAACCGTTGCCTCCATCGCGAGGATTTATTTGTGTTGCAATTTTCGCGAAAATAAACTAAAGCTGCCAATATGCCGATTTGCAAGCGGGACGGCTTCGACCTGAATCAGAAGGAGGACAAGAACGTTACATTCCATGACAACGACCAGGTCTTTTGCTGCTACCTCACCAAGCGCATTTTTCGCGACTACGAGTAAGTGCATCCTATATTTCATGTCCCCTTGACCCCGCCTTCATCCTTGTCCTCGCCCCTGCACCCATCGAAAAGCGACGCCAAAACGGACACTGCGCTAAAGTATACAACAAAGCGACGCTGCGAGCGCATGCATGTGATGTACGTAAGGGTACATCACTATGTTGGCTGTGTGTGTAATACCGCGCGTGTGTTTGTGTGTGCGAGAGTCTCGTGGGCCTGGGGCACAAACAACGCTGTGGCGGTGGCGGGAACATTTACAGCTGCCGCCAGAGACAGCTGTTCCCACGGCGTTGCCACCTGGTGGGAAAATAGAGCGCGCCAAGCAAAAGTTTAATATGTTTATCTTTACAATTTTCATTCTATAATAATTGTAAAATAAATTTTTTTATTAAATTATATTTAACTTTCCTGTAGCAATTACTTTCGGCACGTAATGGTGATCAACTCGACGGTATGGCAATGCGAGGCCACCGGCAAGGATAGCCTCACCTTCGAGGAGGCCCGAAAGAGCGAGCGGGCGGCCCGCAAGAAGATGGAGCAGTTCAAACACAGCCTACGGGCACCCGTGCTACTCGTAGTGGAGCATGCCTGCCAATCGGCGGTCAATACACTAAACTTGCTGGTGGCCAAGTTCCTGCGCAAGCGATACTTTATTGGCGAGGAGGTGACGGTGGTGGGTAAAAAGAACACCACATACAAGGTTGTGGGCATTAATATGGACCAGACCATACCAGAGCCCAGTAATGGCATCTACGAGGATACCGATACTTTGGTCTACCGCCTGCAAGCCCTCAAGGGCGATGCAACCACAGAGATCGATGTGCCCTTCAATCAGTTGCGACGAACACGCTTGGAGTTCAACATGGAAAACCTGGGCATGTTCATCAAGAGCAATGTTACGCGCGTGGATGGGTTGCTGCGACCTAAAGCCGATGCCTACAAGCAGTATGTGACGGATATCGGCGTGAACTTCTCTACAATTTTCATTGGCAAAATGCCGCGCTATTCCCCCTCCAAGATCAAGAAGCCCGATGTCAAGAAACAGTCCACGCTGAATAAATTCATTGTGACCGATGAACAAACGGTGGCCAAATCCAAAGCCAAGGCCAAGGCGGATGCCAAATCCCTGGCGGAGGAAATGGAGCGGGTGCGGCTGGAGAAGCAGGTGAGGCTGGCGCAAATGGAGCGGGAGAAGGCAGAGAAGAAGGCGCAGCTTCTCGAGCGCGTTAATATCGAATGCGATTCGCTGCTGAGCAAGACCGATGATCTGGAGCGATCCGATCAGAAACTGCTGCCACGCTACCACCAGATTGTCACTTTTCTGCCAGAGCGAATGCTGGGCGATGCCTTTATGATGCGCGAATTTATGCACACTTACGCTGGCCTCCTCTCTGGTATTGAGGTTTTCCGCCAGAATATCAGCTTCTACGAGATGACCCGGGCGCTGACTGCGCGAGAGATTGCGGGACCGCTTTCGGACATTCTGCTTGTACTCCTGGGCACCGTTTTCGATCTGCAAAAGGAAGAGGAGGAGGAATGCTCTGTGACCTATGTGGATCGAATTTCCCAGCACTCGGAGCCGTTTCGCAGCATGTCGCAGGCCGCTCAATGTCACTACTATTCCAAGAGGCACTTCTCTTTCAAGGTAAACGAACTGCCGCTGGATGCATTGACCCTCAGTGAAGTCCTTCGTTTGCATCTCCTGGGCTCTGGAGCCGTGGTGAACGAGAAGGCAGAGCGTTGGCGGGTTATGTACCGCAATGGTTATTCGTCGAAAGAGGATCCCGGGCTGGAGCTGCGCCTCCAACACGCTCACATTTTGCGAGCATTGAAAAACCAACCTGTCTATCAGCTCAAGTTCAGGGATATTATGCATTTAATTCGATGCCTGATGTCCCAGATCCTCACCTATTCAGGAACCATTAATCTGATTGAGGAGCGTCTGGAGCAGACGGCAAAGGCCAAGCAGGAGCTGCGATCCCTCATCTCGAACGAGAATAAGCGCATTGCCGCCGTGGAGGTCAACAAAAAGAAGCTAAACCAGACGCATCAGCAGGCCATCGGTGGCGTGGAGCCTGCCAAGAGGGAGGCCATGGTGGATAAGCTAAACAAGAGCATTGCTGAACTGCACTCCCAGTCAGAGCATCAACATCGCAAGCACGAGCAGCAGTTGCTGCAGCTGCACTCGCAGCTGTTTAACTTTCTGGTTTATCTGGGTATGGATCGGTGTTACAGGAAGTACTATGTGCTGGAGTCCATGCCGGGCATCTTTGTCGAACATTCGACGGATAGCCTGGATACATGTTTGGAGCAACCGCCGCTAAACAAGTCTCAGTCGGAGATAAGGCATCAGGCTCAGTTGCCCAAGAATCGTAAGGATTTGCGGATTTATCTGCTGAAACTCTACGGCGATGATGATAAGAGGACCAGGAGAAGCAATAAGCAGTCGTTGGAGAACAAGGAGAATCAGGAGCATCGTTTGAACGGCACTGTAGAGCACATGGAAGTGGATGCGGATCCTCCCACAGCTCCCACCCAATTCGAATTGATGATGTGCAGCGGTGATAAGCGTAACTGCATCGTTCACGACCCGAAGAATAGCCAGCGGCAGCGATGGTCATACATTTACAAGCCGGAGGAGATCGATGACTTGATACGGGGTCTCAATCCTAATGGTCTGCGGGAATCGGAGCTTCTGCAAGAGCTCTCAGTGATGCGTTCGCTCATCGAACAGCACGTTAAGACCTGCCCCACCGATGTCCTCCAACTGGAGGGTGAAGCTATGCGCAAGAAGTTCCTCGCCACCATGCACGCGGAGACCAATCGAAAGTATGGCGAGGCTAACTTTGGAGTCCCAGAAGGCACCGATTTGAATGAAGTGATGCGCCTGCATCTGGTGGATCGACTTCTGCAATTCGAAACCGATATATATACGGGAGATCTCGGCCGGCTAAAGGTCAAGGATATGGAGAAGTGGCGAAATGATTTGCTCACTGGCCATTATGATCCCCAGGGCAAGGTGCAGTGGGGACCAGGCGGTAAGCTGGAGGATGAGGTGGCCAATGGCTCAACAGACAATGAGTCACATGAGGATCATGCGGAAGGTGCAGATGAGGAGAAAGATGGAGCACTGTTGGGTAAATACGCCAAGAAAGCATATCGTGATCCTGGGCATTCCTTGGTGGCCTCAGCGGATGAAGAACCCTCTGCAGATAGCGAAGATGAGGATGAGGAGGAGGCATTGCCCAGTGAGACTGAGATACCCAGCGAAGTGCACAACATGGCTTCGGCTCTGCTTCAAGTGGAGCAGGCCATTGGCAAGCGTTTCCTTAAAGAACCATATGGCATGAAGAAGTGGGATCCCAAGCAGGAGGCTCTGAAGTTAGCCTGCGAGTCACGCCTGCATCAGTGGGAGGTATCGTTGATGGCCAGCACCAGTTTTGCCCAAGTTTTCCTGCACTTTAATGTCCTGCATGATTGCATCCAGTGGCGGCGCTCCACCAACAAGTCGCTGTGCAAGGTGTGCCGGCGTGGCAGCGATCCCGAAAAGATGTTGCTCTGCGACGAGTGCAACGGCGGCACCCACATGTTCTGCATGAAACCCAAGCTAAGGAGCGTGCCGGAAGGCAACTGGTATTGCAAGGAGTGCATCAAGGATCTCGGCCTGAAGAATGCACAAAACGAAAAGGACAAGAATCAGGCGGCAGCCAAAAAGAAGCGGAAGTTTATTGTCGAGGAGGATGATGAGCCCGAGGAAGATGAGGAGGAGGAGGATGACAATGATAATGATGAAGGAGAGGAGGAGCAAGAGGAGGAGGATGAAGAAGAGACAGCCGATGACAACAAGAGCGAGGCCTCATCTCGCACCTCAGTCAAGCTCAATGGTCGTCCAGCGCGAGGTTTACGGACAAGTTTGCGCGGCAAGCGGCTCACATCCAAAGAAATTGATGAGGAGATCAATGGTGATGCACAGAGCAGCGAAGCTGGAGATGAGGCTTCCTTGGTAGACAACGAGGAGGAGGAGGATTCGTAAGTTTTTTGTATATATTTTATATTTCTCTGATATATATTAACTTCCAATCTCTTGTCAAACAGTGAAGAGGAAAAGGTCTGCCAATCCTGCTTCTATGACGGCAGCGAAATCCGCTGCGTTCGCTGCAGTTTGTACTATCACCTGGAGTGCGCGCACCTCAAGCGACCGCCACGCTCCGAGTTTGTGTGCAAAAAGTGTAAGAATTCAGAGACACAACGTCCCAGACGCCGGCATAGTCACAGTGAGTGAAATAATTTGTTTATCTAGGAATCTTAACTATACTCTATATATTTATATTTTTTACTCCAGTGAATGGTGATAATGACGACGATGGCGGTGATCAGGATGAGCCACAGGCCAAACGCTCTCGCTCCTCCCGCACCTCAATGCGTCTCTCTCTCGATAAGTCCGCCCGCCAGAGCAATGGTAATAATAACAATAACAGCAGCACCAATAATAACAACCACCGGCGGAGCGGTCGGCGGACAAATGAGAGCAACCTGCCATTGAATAGTGCCGCCTTATACGATCTGCTGGAGCAGATCATGAAGCATAAGGCGGCTTGGCCCTTCCTGCGACCGGTGTTGACATCGGAGGTGCCCGATTATCATCAGATCATCAAGACACCCATGGATTTGGCCAAGATCAAGTCCAAGCTAAATATGGGCGCCTATCAGCTGAACGAGGAGGTTCTTAGTGACATCCAGTTGGTGTTTAAGAACTGCGACATGTACAACGTGGAGGGCAACGAAATATACGAGTAAGCTAAACCAAAATTTCCTCATTTGGGCTTCGATGTTAATATCTTTCTCTTTATCCTTAGTGCTGGCTGTCAATTGGAGAGATTCGTGATGGATTGCTGCAAGGAAATGCAGCTGCCGTTTAAGCCCAGCGACATGAACGAGGCGGAAGCCGCCGCTTGCTGAGTCGGCTGCCATCATAAAGCTGATCTCTGCCAGCCCATCCGATCGTGTGTAAATTAGTTAGCCGTAGTTCAGTTTGTTCCGTAGGCTTAAGCATAAAAAAGCATCAAATTTTCCCAGACTTAAGTGTAGTTTCTAATCTATGTTTAATTTTCGCAAGCAAGTTCAAAGTTCAGCGCAAGCACGCACACACACCTAGGCAAGCAAAAATTCGTTTCTGTTGGTTTTTCAAGACATTTGTATTTATGTATTCATAAATTATTGTAGACACAAGTATAACACAGGCTCCACAATCAATAAATGAAGTGAGTGAAAAATAAAGCAACGACTTGAATTCATTAATAGTTTAATTTTAGTAAGGCTTAACCTAGACAGAGAAGCGTTAAGTAAAAAATGACAACTTGTTTCGAGGCTAAAGCTAAAAAGTAAAACTGGTTAGTCGATGGTGGGGGAAACATTGAAGGAATAGAGATTAGTCTAACGAAAATACTTTGTTGATTTTAATTTGTTTTATTAACAAATGGTTCTGATTGTATTTTGAGTTTCTAAAACCTTTAAATCACATGATTTATTTGCAAAATGAGAGTATAAAAAAGGTTACGTGATGATGATACCGTTGGGTAGGGATGAACAAGTTTAATTTTTTGACATATCATTGTAAATTTTGATAAATATCGGAAGTAAAGGTTTTTAAAATGAAAAAAAATTTGATAAACAAATTTATGGTCCATATATCGCAGTTAATATATTGGTTTAGTATCGAAAGAAAACTTTGAAATATAGAGTACTATTTGGTATTTGGCGATAAAATTATAAATATTCCAAAACTCTTTACCTAATTTATTTATTTACCGATTATAAGAGTCCGGTATATAAAGAAATTATCGAATTAATACATATTCTTGCATCCCTACCTTTCAGTAATTAATACTTTCCATGAAAGCTATGCCTTATGTTTGATGTGTGTGGTGTGGTTTTAAGGGAGATCCGAATAGAACGATGGACAGCTATGTGTTTTATCTCTTATCAAAAATGAAAGTTTAGCCTAAAGAAGCTGGTATGTACCATAGCTTAAATGTAATATGTTTATGTGTATGGTGTCCACAGACTACATGGACGAAGATGTAGTGGAAGCAGTCGATTCCGTGTTGCACATATCCGGAACCAGACCATTGACGACACTCTTGGGCTGGTGATTGTGATTGGAAGTCAGCTGGCTATTATTGTTGGCCTCCGGTTCCGCTAGAAAGGGAAACGAATTGGATGTGCTGGGAGCCTGAGACAATTGCGCCTCCATGGAGGTCATCGATGTGGTGGTGTTGCTGCTGCACGTGCTACTGCCACTGCTGCTGGTACTGGAGGTATCCTCGTCGTCATGAGCATTATGGTTGTTGTTATTATTATCCCCTATGGTTGGCTCCTCCTCGTCTCCGTCACTGCTATTGTGTGCCTCATCCTCCTCCTCCTCTTCCAGGTATTCAGAGTCATTGGAGTGGACACTATCGTTGTCTGGCTGGGATCTAGGAAGTTGCCGATGATTAGTACGTTTGTGTTTCAGAACTGCAACCCGCTGATGCAACTTCTTTCGCTTGCGACCGCTTGGCGCGAGGGTGGACTGCAGTGGGTCAACTGGAAAATAGGAATTAGATATTAAGAATTATCAAGACTTTTATAATAATTAACAAGAATTATATTTTATCTTATACTCTTCATTACTTCATACTTTAACTATACAACTAAACCTAAGCATAAACACCAAGTCATGGTTGGAAGTCAAGTCGTCGTCGGCGTAGAGTCAACAAACCCCAGACACTTGCCAATAATTGTGGGTAGCAAACCGCCCTAAGGTGTCAACGGTTTTGACACTAAGTAAACATTGGGTCAACAGGATGTCAACCCCACCCTCTAGTATCCTTTGTCCTATTGTTGGCTCCACAATCTCAGTTGCGGGTTCAGTAACCATTGATATGTCGGCGACTCTGCAGCTAATTATGCTGCTGACCCTTGTGGGAGGAACCGTTGGTCAAGCCAATAATACGGACCACGACGACGATGACTACAAGCAAGTGTTTGCCTCCATTTTGGCCCAACACGAGGGTGGCCTTGAGCTTCATTTAAGGAGTTACAAAGATGCAGACCTGGACATTGTGCAGTTTGTGCTGAAGGAGGCCAGGAATTCATTGCAAATAAGTGTTCATCGTGGGGAGGAGGCTGAGAAGCAGGAAGAGTTCATAGCCATGCGGCATCATTTCTATTTCTTTACGAATATAGAGGAAATGCAACGTGTGCGGGGTAACCTCATCAATACCGATGGTTTTTATATACTGGCCTTGGAGAGTCTGCTGCCTGAAGATGATCAGGTTTTAAAGGACTTTATGGCCCAGATCTGGCTGCAACATGGCCATAGTCGGATTTACTATATCGATTTGAGTAGAGGTCGCATCTTCCTCTACAATCCCTTCCAGCAGAGCATTGTGTTGGTAAAGGAACCAAAAACTTATGCTCGAATCTATCAGGACCTCAATGGTTATCCTTTGCGTATATATATCTTCGATTCAGTCTACTCGGCTGTATTGGGAGATGGCGAAAACGAGAAGGTATTAAGCGTGACAGGAGCAGATGCCAAATTGGCCAAGATTGTGGCCAAACATTTGAATTTTACGCCGGACTATCTATGGCCAGATGATGAGTTCTTTGGGTGAGTTTGGGAAGAAGTCAGAAATTTCCATGGATTTTTATCTTGAATTCCATTTTTCCAGCGGTCGCCTGGCGGATGGTTCATTTAGTGGCGGCGTGGGCCGTGCTCATCGCGGCGAGGTGGACATTATCTTTGCCGGATTCTTTGTCAAGGATTACCTCACCACCCAGATTCAGTTCAGTGCTGCTGTTTACACGGACGATTTGTGTCTCTATGTGCAGAAGGCCCAGAGGATTCCACAGTCCATTTTGCCACTCTTTGCTGTCCATAAGGATGTGTGGCTTTGCTTTCTGCTGGTGGGTCTTATGGGTGCTCTGGTCTGGATCTTGCTGCGACTCCTCAATCTCAGACTAAACATCGAAAGGATACAGAATGAAGGACTAAGGAGGGACACCTATTTGATGGCAGCTGCCAGACGCATCTTTATAGACACTTGGGTGGTCTGGGTGCGAGTGAATATCGTCCGGTTTCCACCCTTCCACTCGGAACGCATTTTTGTGGCTTCTCTGTGCCTGGTGAGCGTGATTTTTGGTGCTCTGCTGGAGTCCAGCTTGGCCACTGTTTACATTCGACCTCTGTACTATCGTGATACGAACACCATGAGGGAATTGGATGAACGCGGTCTACCCATATATATCAAGCATCCTGCTTTCAAGGATGACCTCTTTTCTGGCAGTGATTCGGAGGTGTATCGTCGGTTGGATGCCAAGATGATGCTGGTTGCCGAAGGCGAAGAGAGACTCATTGAAATGGTGTCCAAGAGGGGACATTTTGCAGGAGTAACCCGCTCTGCCAGCTTGGAGCTCAGTGATATTCGCTATGTCATGACCAAGAAGGTGCACAAGATACCCGAGTGTCCCAAGAGCTATCACATTGCCTATGTCCTGCCACGCCCCTCACCCTACTTAGAGGAGGTGAATAGGATTGTCCTGCGCCTGGTGGCCGCGGGAATCGTAAGTCTTTGGACGGGCGAGACCAAGGAGCGGGCCAAGTGGAGTATTCAGCGGTTTCCCGAATATCTGGCTGAGCTGGACGTGGGTCGATGGAAGGTGCTCACCCTCTCCGACGTCCAGCTGGCTTTCTATGCCCTGAGTATAGGATGTCTATTGGCTGCCGTAGTGTGTCTGGCGGAGATCTTCCTAAGACGCAAGTGCAGCAAGTTGCGACAGAACAATAATAACACTATATGTCATAAGTTTGCCTTTTATAATTAAATTTGAATCCCTTTCTTTAAACTGCCTATTAAATCTTTATATTCTATAAATAAATGTAAAGATCTCACCTGCTTTCAGTTCTTGTGTCCTGCGAGGACTCCTGGCAGTTTGACGACCCTGCTCTCTGGCTGCCGCCTCCGCCGATGTGGTGGGCAGCTCATCGTCCCCAAAGAGGCGATGTGTCTCCTCCAACCAATCACTGATCCGAGTCTGTGTGGCCGCCTGCTTCTGCTCGCCAAGCAGCCGCTGGAGTAGCTGGTCCACGCCGCGGGTCTGTCCAGTGGTGCCCCTAACCGCCAGTTGGAGCAGAGCCCGCCGCTTCTTGGCGATTAGGTAGAATATTCGATTGGGATGAGTCTGCCAGCTAAGTTCACTCACATTGGGCGTGTCGTTGTCCTGCTCATTATCCTGCTCCTGATCATTGGTCGTTGGATGTTCATGATTAAGATGATCCTGATCCTCGCGTTCCTCATCGCTGGGCTCCTCCGTGGCCGAACTGAGCTCAGTGCGCTCCGTGGAGGTATCCGAGCTGCTGCTGGAGCTGCTCTGATTATCCACAGTGCTCCAGGACTCCAGCTCACGCTGCACCAGAGTGTCAAAGAAGGCCAACATCACCTGATCCTCGTCAGTGTTGCGAGCACTAAAATCCTGGGAGACATGATCCGAGGAATTGCGATGCAGAGCGCGAGTGCAATAGGGCAGCTCCTCGGCTTGGGTAAGGGATCCCTCCCAGCCCTGCTGGGCAAAAGGGCTCCACAGCTTAAGAGGGAGCAGGAATATGGAAATATTAATTCAAAGATTCCTAAAGCATTGCTCAACTTACTTTAATAATCTTCTCCACGCCCGAGGAGGCGAGCAGACAGCGCTGACGATTATAGCGCACCTGGTTCACTATGGATCGGTGGCCAGTGAGGATAACCGGTGGAGTGTCCACCCATTGGTTCTTCTCCTCCACTAAAAAAGGAGAAAATATATATTATATGATTTATGAATTCTTTTCGGTCAACTCACAATCCACTCCATCCATTCGCCAGATGAACATGTTAAAGTTATCCGAACCGGAGACCACCAGCTCATCCTGTGGCCCCGCAAACGTGCAGCTCTTCATGGTGCAGGAGTTGAAGTATTCATCATGATAGAATGTGGCCACAGGCTCTGGTGATCCAGGACTAAAGAGGATCGGTGGCAGACGTCGATGCAGGGTCAGGAGCAAGGTACCATTACAATTGAACCGAACACTCATGCAGCTGGGCGTCTCCGGTATGTAATTGTACTGGCATAGAGCTCTGATTAAGTAAAAGATCACACAGAATTAGTATCTTTATATGGTTAGGAAACCTTAAGAGAAACTCACTGCTGATGATGCCTCAGGTCCCAGAGCATGGCTCCTCGCTTGGCATTGGCTGTGGCCAGAAAGTTCCCATTTAATGGATGAAATTCCACTGCATTGAAGGGCGTCCTGAATTTGGCAATGGCCAATGGATCGGATTTGCCTACCCTTAAGTCATACACTAGGATCTCGCCGTGCTCTGTGGCCACGCTGAACAGATGGCCACTGGTCCTGTCCACACTGAGGCCGTAAACGGGGCCATCGTGCGAGAAGTAACTCAGGAGTTTGCCACTTTTAATGGGGAAAACGGAAGAGAGAATAGGTTTGAAAAATATTTCAATTATTAAAAGTATTTCTACAGATATTTCTATATACTCTAATTCATTTATTAATATTATTTTTCATTATTTCCATATCATTTTACCCTTGCTGGGTATTATAATTTTATTCAGAAGCACATAAAACTGTGAAGGAGTCGTTTCCGACTCTATAAATTATATATATTCTTGATCAGCATCGAGAGGAGAATCAATCTAGCCATGTCCGGAGAAACATTTTTTTGAAATTTTTTCAAAATTTTTTAAGGGGTCAAAATTGTGAAAAATGACAACAAAAAATACTTTTTTTTAAATTTTAAATTGATTATGCAGAATTATCAATCTAATAAAAACTACCATTGTAAAGCTTTCCGAATTAAAATTAATGCATTTTTGGCTTAGTTATGCATTTTTTTAAATTTATATTTTTCGAAGAAAGTGTCATACAGAAAATATAAATAAATACCGATTCAATCGATTTGTTTCCTTAGTCCCTTTCTTGTTTTCTTTAATTCTCATTTATTTATTATTAAATCCAGTTCGATATACCTTATTTATTGTATGTATTATTAATAAATTTTTATAATTTAATCATTTTCAATAGTTTAAATTTGAAATATATTCATTTATACTCGTTTCCTTAAGGAATTTTATTCTTTTTAAAACGAAATAAGGTCTGTATAATATTATTATTTATAGCCCTTTTAGTAGACCAAGAAAAAATACTTTAAAAAATCCATTATTTAATAATTATATACTTACGTGAGCAGATCATGTTGGATGACCAAATCATCATTTCCCCCGGACAAAATATACGAGTTCTGGATGTCAAAACCCAGACAGAAAATATTGCTGGCATGCTTCTCGTTCATAGACCGGGGTTTCCCCAATTGGGAAACCACCTCCCTATCGATATTCCACAGCAAAACACGCTTGTCATCGCCACCTGGAGGAATACAGGGAAATTAGGATCGGAGTACCAACAGGTTGCCGGCACCAACACTTACCGGAGGCCAGGAACTGTCCACCATGACTGAACTCCAAGGCATTCACGCAGCCATAGTGACCGGTTAGGTTGCGCTGATAGAGATTCTCTGCGGCACTGAGACGCTGCCGGAAGATGGCTGCGGGCAGGTGGCCAGCCACCAGTTGGTTCTCCCGCTGGCCCAGGGCCAGGTCCAGATTCCGGGTCTCCAAAGAGCGCAGGTTCTGCCAGAGGCTCATTATTCCGATTGGGATTTGGTCAAAGATTTGGATTTCTTTGGGGAGTTTCTCACAAGGCGAGCTGGGAATTTGGATATCGCTGTGGCTTCCAGGGGGCCAGCGAAGCACACATATCGCCCCTCACTTCACCTCACACTCCCAACGTTTGCCGCTGCTACTGCTACTTTTCTTCACTTTTTCACTCGATAGAATCTTGCCTGCAAACTCTTATTTTTCACATTTAAACAATCACTTAAACGGCCAGAAAATGATGGTGAAAATTATGGAAAAGTTGCTAAAGTATAACCACGAAATTTGACCTGCGACGGACTGGTTTAATCATCGCTGCTCGCTCCCCTAATCAAAATGTTTTTCAGAAAGTATACAAACCGAGAAACCAACAAAACAGCTGTTCGCCCAACCAGCGACAGTGGGGCAAGACCGGTCAAAAAGTGGCCTCACCTTGGGCTCAAGGGGGCAAAACTACTATATATTAAATTCACGATTCTTTAGCGATTTATTAAAAAAAAAAATACTTCTATCTAAAGTCTTGTTAGGTTTCTACAACGATTGAGTTCTGGTGGAAAAGAAGCTTTTGACAAAGAAAACAAATTGAAATATTTATGGTTACTTACTAGATACTTCTTTTGTTTACTATATCCACAGGGTAGGAGTAGAATATATTTTATTTGTCGTAAAGTAAATATTCCTTTTATTACTCTTAAAGTATTGAACTTAAGAAAAGCAAAAGGAAAGTTGTTTCAGCTGTCAAAAAACCCTAATGCCAACGCATGATTGTCACACTTTTAACTTTTTAGCTCTCGATATTTATCGCAATTAAATATATATTTAGTAAAAAAAATCCCATAAAATATACTTAAAATCTAAACATAAATAAGCTTTTAATCACTTTCAGTAAAACAACTAATTTATTTTTCAGCATAGCTTAAGAATATACAGAGGTAAATGCTTAAATATTTTTGAGCCCCCTCAATGCTTCGTAATATTCTCTGATATCACCTGCAATAATCAGATTTATAAAACTCGCCGCTATTCAGGTATTTTTCAGGTATTGTCTTCATTGTGACGTTGGAAATACATGCGGGAAAAAGGGAAAATATCACACACTAAACTACTATATAGTAAAATCATCTATAAAATCACGCTGCATCCCTGGATATGTCAGCAGCTGGTCTCCGCCGCCTGGAACAGATTCGAGTAGTTAATGGCAAAGAATATGGCCACCGCACCGATGGCCGAACCTAGCTGAGTGATGGCACCCACCCAGACCAGGGACTGACCTCCCTGCGCCCTCATCACAGTGGTAATGCCCAACTTCGTGTAGCTAACGATTCCCACCAGCAGGGTCCAGGCGGTGACCACCAGCACAGCGCCCACGGTTTGATCATGGAGCGGTGGCAGGGGACTCAAAGCTGCTGTGGTGAAAACATAGCTGGTCAGCAGACCCGCCAATATGGAGAGCACTGTGATGAGGCGCAGCGATGTGAAATGCAGAAACATGGCCATAAAGCAGGCAACAGGATTGGCAATCACACTGAGTGTGGCCGCCAAATGGTATGCATTGGATCCGTATGGAGCACTGGAATAGGACTGAATGCTGCCAAACATTCCGTTACTGAACAGTGAGATGGCTCCGATCAGGAGGAGCATATAAGTGTACTGCCCCTTGGTAAGCTTCTCCACTTTGTCCGACTGCTGCTGGTTGTCCGCCTCTCCGTAGACATACTTGTTGCCCTCGGTGACCGTCACCTCAGCATATTCCCTCCTAGCCACGGACAGGGAATTGAGCAGGGTGTAGCCCACGTAGCTGAGCACCATCAGGCCGAAGAGGATGAGGAAGAACACTCGGGTATCGAAACGTGGCGGCGTCTTCTGCAGCGCGTAGATAGGATCTCCGGATTCCGTTACATTCACCACAGTGCACTCGCCGCTCTCACCGATGCCCTGGATCAGAGCGGTAACACTGGGCAGCAGGCCGCTCAGTCCCTCGCCGATGAAGTAGGTGACCATATACTGCTCCTTGAAGCGACCCATGTAGGGCATGAAGAGCACGGAACTGGTGCAGGCATTCACAGCCGTAAAGCACGTCAGCACGAATAAGGCCACACTGTGATCTGTCCCTCCGACTGGAGCAGTTCGATTGTAGAAGAAGGCAGTCAGCAGGCAGGAGATGCCACCCACTAGGAGCACGCCATGGATGGTCCAGCCATCGTTTAGCTTCTTTGGTGAATACTTCTGGATGGCCGTGTAGAGCAGGGGACCCAAGTTGCCGATCTGCACCATCACGCTGAGGTAAGAGGGCAGACTCCAGCCCTCGGGGGCTTCGTCCACCAGCAGAGGTAGTTGTATAAAGGTTCCATTGACGCCCAGCCAGGTGCCAATGCCAAAGAAGATGGCCAACAGATCGACGATCCAGCTGCGGTCTTTGAATTTCGAGCCCAACTCCATGGTCTGCTTCTTGGGACTTCCCCAGTTGAGGAATAAGCTCAGTTCACTTTTCCTCACCTCAAGTGGAGGGCATCTGTTGGTGGGAAAATTAAAGATTAGAGATTAGTTTTGTAAGAAACGTTTAAATAAGATAGAAAAATCTGTTCCAAAGGGTTACAACATCCAAAAAATCGTCTATCTTATCTTATAATAACTTCTTTTTATAGAAATGTAGGTCACAAGAATACTATGAACAACATTAAGAAAAGTTTTCATTTAAATAAATAATTTGTAAGCTAAACTAGGGTTAATATTCTGTTAAAATCTAGCACATAAACACTATTTAAAGCTTGCTACATTGTAGACTACTATATGATATTTTCTTAGGTTTATGACTCTACAAATCAGAAACGTTTATTTGGTGTTAATTTTGCTCAATGCTTCAGATAAGGTTTTAAAAACTCATTATTATCAGGCAGCTTGTGGCATTTACAGTTCATTATATTTGTCTTTTGGACAGATAACCAAGTAATTGCGATTAAAAGAGTGTTCTGTGGTTTAACATTACATATTTGTAGGCTGAGAAAATGTTTACACTAAGAAAAAAATATAATATAAATTATTTAATGATATTTAAGCAATAGCTTTAATATTTATTGACCTTATGATATGGGAAACTTAATATTGAATAACATCACGTAAATATATCTTGTTAAAAGAAATGTATCAATACATTTTTTTATTTCCTTCTTCCCATTCTCCCATTATAACATCTTTAATTGTTTTATGTTAAATACCACTTATCAAAAATAATTATAAAATTTCCCCACCATAATCGGTTTGATTGGATAGCCAATTATAAAAAACAAAAACTCCAAGTTCCTTGGATATATCTATCTCTCGCCTAATCTTATTTTCGAGTGATACTATATATTGAGTGCTGTGCCGGTGGTCACATACGATCCGCATCTAATCTGCTAATTCAATTAATTTGTGACCATATTCCCATGGAGTGCCGTTGTCTGCACGTATCTGGCTGAAGACGATAAGAATCGCAATTGGAAACTGAATCCACTTTAACCCCAGACCAATAACTAACCTAATTAATTACAAAACTTTATCCTTTGGATAGTATTGTTTTGCCTGGAGAAATTTAATGTATCTTGTAAAAATGAACATCCTTGAAATTGCATTTTCAATATGAAGATTAACAGAGATGGAGTTTATAAAGTGACCTAATTATTAATTCCTTTTCCTTATGTTTTATTATTCTGAATTTTAAATTGTATGAATTAGTTATCGTAATATTTTTGGAGTCTCAAAAAAATAACATTATCCAATATGTTATTAAATAAAAAGAATAATGTTATATTTCGAAGGTACTTTAAAACAGGGTCAGTATTTTAAATCTCAATTTCCCTTACATTTTTTAAAGGTTTATATGCTGTATTTTGAGGTAAAAGCACCTTAAGGAGAAAATGGGTTAAGTGTTGATAACGTTTTAGGGCCATAAAGATGTGTCTAACTATTTTGAGAAACTATTTTGAACTCGTGTTTTAATAGCAAAATGAGTAAAAACAATACCAGATTGTGGTTACATTTCTTTTTGTTTTACTACTTTTAAACCTTTACAAAATAAAATAAAAATGTATTATAAAATAATAAATGTAACAAACTGTAAGCTATATTTTTGGTTTAAAGAAGAATGTAGGGTTTCTTTAAACGATATTAAAAAGATGTCACTATTATATGCTATTTTATTGATTTATTATTGGTGAAGAGAAAATCGGGTTAGCATAAGTACCTTGCTAAACAAAAATATAACTTATCAATGTTTGTATTATGAAGTGAGTTACTATAGATGAAATAGTGTTTATAACTTTCAATTTTTATAAACAAAACACCTACTATGTATATGGAAATTTTCCCCAATAAATAGAAAATGGTTCACTGAAAACTTATCTTTGACCTTATGGGGCTAAAATTGCACAGTCATTAGATATTTATGGTCATTAACCGTAAAACCAAATTGGGATAAAGATACTAAGCCAAAAGAAAGCTTTAAAGCCCGACTCCAAAAACTGGTTTTCGCTCTGAGCCTCTCTCTCTCTTTTTCATCGATAAAAGCGTCAGCGAAAAACCAAAATAAAGCCAATGGTAGCAAAAAACTAAAGTCTGATTTTTGAGACCGCTTACCTGTCGAAATCTTCCACCGTCGAGACCACGCCGTAGACTGGCCCCGGGGAAGCATTACCAGAGGCTCCTCGGGTCTTGCTCTGCACCTGGTACCTGCTCATTTTCGGAGTGTTCTCTTCCAAATTAATTTATGATCTCCTCGGCGATAAGATTTCTTGATTCGCAGTCCTCGTAGCCACTGTGCCGTCTTGTACGATGGGATGCCCAGGCAAAAAGCGTTCCAGTTTCAGCCTCGTATCGATTTTAATAAAATCAATTGGCAAAAATACGATCAATTGGTGGGGTTAATTAACTTCCGTAAGGGCCGGGTGCTCCGCAAATAAATAAATAAATACAAAGTCGAAGCTCCAAATTTCCCACCGAAAATATGTCTCCTTCTTATGCAATTTTGTTGTTCGAGTTTTCAGTGGCGCTGTCAATGGATGCGGGTGACGGAATATCGAGGTGATATAGAGGAAAAGCTGGAGAAAAGTGCAACAAGCTTCGACGTATTTTATTGGCCATTTGAAGGGGCAAATCACGGAATTTAAACTTTTTTGAAATAAACAAGAACGAGAACTAACAGCTGGCGGCGAACAGCTGTTTTCAAGCGCACGTGCGGCGAATTTCATGCAACGAAGCGAATTTAAAGTGTCAGCGCCAATGTTAAGCACTATTTCAGTGTGACCATTTTCCGGAATAGTAGGCGGGCATTTGCATTTATTTAAAAATAAATTTAAAGTTTTTAAAGATTGTGATCTTTTCAATCTAGATACTATAAACCCATATTTTATTGAACATAAATATGCTCGAGATATTGGAGTACAGGAGATGGTGGCTTAAAGCACTCAGGACACTACCTTTTAATCACATAAAGAATAATTACTATTCAAATCCAAAAATTATTACATTATATTAGATATTTAAACGCATACTAAACCCTTAACCTTTTCCTGTTCCGTCTCCACCTCCGAGACCGAGACATTATCCGGCGCTGGCTCATTCAAATTGTCCACCAGATCCCCCGTGTAGAAGAGCACTGCCTTCGGCACGATTTGTGTGCGCAGGAGGAAGCCCACCTCGAAATCGTTGCCCAGGATCTGCTTGGTCTTCTCATCGGCAAGGGACAAATCCATGACTTGCGGTGGAGCAAAAAAGCGGAAGAAGGATTCGCGAGGCATCACCTTGGTGCGAGGACTTCGTCGCCTTCGGCTCTCCACAGTTTGTAGCGTCAAATTAAAACCATCCCGCCAGTGGATATGACAACCCTCGCAGCGTACAATCTCGGGACCCTCGTAGAGAAAGGGGAACTCCTGGTCCGCCGAGTTCTGCAGGAAATACCTCTTGGTCAGCAGCAATGAAGAGTCATGCAGGTAGCCATTCGGTTGAAACTGAAAGCAGACCGTATAGCTATCCTGATCGTAGCCCAAACGCACATCCTGCAGGCACTCCAGCAGCGGTTCATCGTGCTCCTGGACTAGCTCCGACAACAGAGGCACATTGCGAAACACAGTCAGCCAGAAACGAGGAACACCCAAGGCATTAGCCGGCACAGGCAGAATTTTGCTCCTCAACTGACGCAGCTCCTCGTTATTCTCCAAGTCCAGATGCAATGAATCAGCCTGATCCTCCTGACAGCAGGGGTCTTCATTTTGCATCGGTGGCTCCACAATCCCATTCAAAATGTTCTTTCTCGCATCGAAAACGGCGCAACTCTGACCGTAGTATCGCCTTTCCAACTCATAGACTTCCCGATAGAACTGCTCCGAAATGCGCACCTGTTGCAGCTGATTCAGTTTCAGGGCCCGTATCCGGTTCTGAACCTTCTGTGGCAATTGATTGACCATATGTCGGAGGAAGGCCTTTCGGGTATGCACGGGCAAATCCGCTGGACTGGGCGCTGGTTCGCAGATATAGGTTGATTCTCGGATATCCAGCGATTGCACAGATTCACTAATCCCAGCGGTCTTCGATTCCGGCTCTTGAGTTCCTCCGGGTTGGAGTAACTTATTTGGACTTTTTTCTAGACTTAACATATTACAATTTGTTATGAAAAACAAACCACTTGAAATTTTGTGTATTTTCTATTAATTTTTAAATGTTTTTAAAGCTCGGCACCCTGGATTACGAGTTATGTATATAGAAATGTATAGATTTTTCAGGTACAGAAGTTGTTTCCTTTGATAAACAATCATAGAGAACTAAAAAAATAATAATTCCAATCATTTTATACATTTGAAATTGTTGCGCAGTGTCTTTTATTTATGTTAAAGCAATCAAAGCCAGCTTAAAAACCAATCCCCTAAAAACTTAAAATGAATGCAAAAATGTTCGATGCAGCTACTTTGGCATGCCTGTCACGTAAGGCATACCACAACTGCAGCCTGTTCCATCCTATTGCGAGCAGAGCTGCTGATACCAGCGCTTGCTTTCCCGACACTTTGGATTGGTGCACATGGGGCAGCGCATGAGGAACTTGGGATTGACTGCCTGCTCCGACTTGAGGTGATCCGCCACAATGTTGCTCAGGGCGTCAATGAACAGCGGATGGTCATTGGGGGCTGCCGCACGTCGGATCTCCTCCACGCCCACCTCCTTGGCCAGCTCGTCGCAGTACTCAATATCCAGTTCATGCAGCGTTTCGATGTGCTCGTTAACGAAGGCGATGGGCACCAAGATGAAGTTCTTTAGGCCTTGCTTGACATAGCCCTGAAGAGACAGAGGAAAAAGGTTAAATACTTTTTAAAGTATATATGAAATGGGTGACATTACCTTGATGGCATCGTCGGTGGCGGGTGCCAGCCAGGGCAGCGGTCCCACCTTAGACTGCCAGGCAAGGCTGTACGGATTCGTTTGGCCCAGCTCCTGCATAACCATATGCACACTGGCCCCGATCTCCGAGGGATATGCGTCGCCCCGACTGACGGCTTTCAGGGGCAGGGAATGGGCAGTGAAGAGAATGACAACATCGTTACGCTTCGTCTCAACGAACTTGGCCAATTCATCGCGGATGCGCTGGGCAAAGGTCTTGATCAGAAGCGGATGAGTGCCCCATCGATCGATGATGCTCCATTTGATGTCAGAGGGCAGGTTGCTAGAAGGAGATACAAGTTTATAATACAAGCAAATCTCTTAAAGAATCTGTACATACGTGTTGCGGTAATGGGTGAAGATGGAGTTGAAGCTGGAACCGGAGGTGGCGCAGCTGTATTGTGGATACTGCGAGAACAGGACAAGGCGCTCTGGTTTGTCTCTAAAAAAGAGAAGGATTATTTCATGACCTCTTTCACTGTTTACATCACTCACTTTTCAATCTCGGCCAGCGTGTTTTCCGTCAGCGGATTCACATAACGGAAGCCCACATAGTGCTTGTGTGGCGCCGTCTCCGGTGAGATCTTGTCCAGCTTCTCGCACATTAGTTTGCCCTGCAGCTCCGTCCACTTGAGGATCGGTGATCCGCCGCCAATCTCCTTGTACTTCTTCTGCACCTCAGGCGTCCGCCGTTGGGCGATCCACGGTCCTAGGCGGCTCTGGACGGGCAGTTGGATCATGTCGCGGTCCGTCATAATACGCAGCAGGTAGTCGTGCACCTGGTCCGTGTGCTGTGGACCCCCCATGTTGAGCATGAGAACTGCAGTCTTCGGTTGCGGCTGACCACTCATGTTGCGAACACTGCCGGCCAGGTTGCCTGTTTGGAAACATAATGTTAACAGTGCTTTGCTTTATATTCATTTTCATGTACTCACTGGCCAGCCTGCACAGGTTTCTGTTATGCATAAACATTGTGTTTTGCTAATAAATTGTGTTGCCTAAAAATATTGCACTTTTTACCAAATGACAACCGGAAAGTTGAATAGTGTTGAGTAACGTCACGGCGCGAGTTCATCGCTCTTTGGTAGTTTAAATAAACCAGTTAGTATAGTAGTTCCGTAAAAGTTGTGTATAATAAAGGAACATTTATATACAAATTTAATTAAGAATTTGTTTTAATTTAATTAAAGTGCAATACAAAAGCCTTAAAAATCGGTGTTGAATACCGCGCGCATTTCAAATATAGTTCAACCGAGCACCGCATTGCCAACCATCTCAAAGTGTAGTATATTTGGTATATTGCTTCTGCTCATTACTCACAAATGCGATGTATTTAAAAAAGCACAAATTATCGTATTTTTAAAGTTAACACAACAAAATAAGTTTATTTATAACATTTCATTCACAATTTAATTCGATAGAATTATTGAAATCTCATTTACATGCATTAACCATTTACAATTAAATAAAAATACCAACTTTCCTTGCAACGGGACCTTTTCTGCGACTGCGCCTCTGTGTGCAACGGTAAAAGCTGCCAGTCGTGCAGTCTCTCTCTCGCACGTTGCATTTTACGCTTATCGTTCGCTGCGAGTGTTTCGTTGCCTGTCCCCAAGTTCTCCATTCAGCGGAAATTTTTTTGAGCCATTTAAGTAAATCCAACCAGAGTTCGAGGACAAAAACACAACAAACAACGTATGTAAAGTGTATGAAAGCTGAAAAATATGAAAAACATAACCTAAGTGCCGTGAAAACATAAGAAACAACCGCCGCAGCAAAGTGAAAAAAGCAGTGGGAGTTGGAGTGAGTGTGAGAGAGTGACAGGGAAGGAGCACCACGCAGCGGTGGTGGGTGTTCGTATTGGTATTCGTGTTGGTGTTATCGCCAGCAGCAGTGAGTTGCTCCAAATTCGCGGCGTCGGCGCAGAGGATAACTCTCTCCCACTTTCTCCGGCGCTTCTCTAAACGGAACAGGATATTTTATTATACTGAAATTCGTACGCAGGAAATTCGCATAGTTGTGAAAGCTTCGCGCTGCCACACGGACGCATTCCGCTGCTGGCTCCCTCGCACTTACACACACTCACCCGCGCGCACCCACATACACTAACCGCACACAAAAACACATACACTCGCTGACACACACTCGCGCAGAAATCAATTAAAACGCAAAGATAAGTTGCAGTTTATTTGTGAACCAAAACATGTTGAAATTAACTCACAAATTGCGCAAAAAATGCCGCAGCAAAAAAGTCGCAGCAATCGCAGTCGCAGCACCAGCAGCAGCGGTGGTGGTGAAAAAATTGTGAAACGGCCAACGAAAGTAGTGGAAAAGCAACGAACGGATAAAGGAGAGAGAACAGGGGAATAGAAAGGATGCAATGACCACCGAAACGGCAATTTGTCTCTAACGGTAACAAATACAACGTAGCCAGCAGCCTCGCAATCTTGCATTTTTGCATCATCGCATATTCTCACTGCCCCGGAAGCAGCAGCAGCATCAGCGGAAATTAAAACAAATCGAAGCCGAAATAAAAGAGCGAACGAGCAAAGGAGTACCGAGGAAAGGAGCAAGTGCAGGGCATCACAGGCAGCGAGAGGCAGCGAGAGAGAGAGAGAAAGAAAGGAAGAGAGTAAAGTGCATCCTTAGCTTTACAACACGGCACACATTTACGACCGGTGACTGCAACTGGAATCCTTCTTCTCCTCCTCCTCCTCCTCCCTTTGCTCTTCCTCCTTCGTCGTCATCCTGGTCCATCATCGCCGCATCCCTCCCCTCCTCGGCCATGTTGTTGTCATTTGCAATTTGTGATCTCATGTTCTCATAACTTGGGCAGCAGACGTTGGCACGGATTAGATGAAAGACGTCAAGTTCCCGAAACTGCAGGTGAGTCCAACGAAAATGGGGTGATTTTAGTGGGTTAAGGAAATGGGGGTTTTTCTTGGGAAATGCAGTAACTGCAGTTTCCTATTTATATAAAGCTAATAAACCCAGATTCTTTTCTATGCTAATTCTAAGAGTTTATATACACACTCCTCTTAAGTAGATTTTTATAAAAGAAAGTTGCTATATAAAAATCCAAGTCATTGTTTATATTTATTTGTATCCGAATGGTATGGATAAATAAATGACTTATTCAAAAAAAAAAGAAAAGAAATAGATATGATATTGAATTTAAAAAACATTTATTTATTTTGTTACTTTGCATGACTTCAGGACTTTTGTCGCTTAATTTTATCTTGATAATTTTTAACACATATTTAGGAGGTTCTTGATGTTTTTTTTTACTCCAAATATCATTAAATGCATTCAACATATTTAAACTAAAGGACTTCAGACTAATTGCCGTCAATGTCGTGATTTGAGATCATAAAACTTGGCAATAGTTTTTATTGAGTATAAAAACTACTTCAATATAGCAATTATAATAATATCCTTCCCAATTATCCAGCAATTAAAATCTAAAACTCTTAAGTTGAAACAGTAAAACTCTTGCTCAGCTTTTATGGCTCTCGGTAGGATTCCTTTACATTGGCCCCGGGAAATTCCAATTATTTTGTTTTTTAATTAAGAATGAAATTCCTGGACTCCAATCAAAATCCGTCATCAAAACAATACGGAGAAAACGACGAGAAATGTAATATCTTGCGGTGATGCTTCAAAGTCTTTCATCTTCTCACTCCCCTTCGAGTGCAGTTGAAATAACTGAGAAACCAACAGGCAGGAAAACAAGGAAAATAAAGAGCCAAAAAGGGGAAAAAGTATACAACTGGGGAGAAGATACAGAAAGCAAAACATTAACCGCGACATTAACAATCAGAAATGCTTTTTTGTGTCGTTCTTTTTTTTTGCGCTCAAAGCCATCATTTTATTTCACCCTGCCATAACTCCCCCAAGAGCCCAACCAAACTACCCCCAGAGTTAAGAGCTTTGCTCCAATTTTACAAGCAGAACAGAGGAGGAAAATTCGTGTGGGGTCTAAAAACCATGAAAATAAAGCCCCTAAAAAAACAGAAGATTTAAGCTAAACCACAAAAACACTAGCTCTAAAAAATATTATAGACCTGTATAATAAAGTGGGACAACAACCGAAGCCATATATTTGGACATAAATGAGATTTCAATAGAAACCAATTTAAGGCTGCCACTTTGGGACTTTATTTATTGTTTATTCAATTTTTAAAGTCCATTGTGTGTGGGATATAATAGGGGGAAAATGAGAAAGGAAAATATATATCACGAAGCATTTATTGTTAAATTTGCACTAAAAAAAGACAAAGTCAACAAAAAACGTGGTTTTTAAGCCATTTTTTGCAAATAATTTGGTTAAAAGTAATGCCACAAAAATCAGATAAGACTTAATTATAATCTTTAATGTTTAAAGCTGAACATTACATTATAAAGTAGCCTTAAACAAGTTGTATAAAAAAGAAAAAGCCAACAAAAACGCGGTTTTAAAGCCATTTTTAGCAAACAATCTTGTTAAAAGCAATGGAACAAAAACCAGATCAGGACTTTATTATAATCTGAAATGTTTTAAAGCTGAATATATTAAACAAAAATGTATTATACCTTTTATAAAGAAGCCTTAAACAAGTTGTAGATTAACGTGTACAAATAAACTCTTTCTCTTCAAATTCCTAATTACTTTATTTTGATCCGCTTAAAACTCATACTTTAATGCCACCTCTTGCAGTATGCTGAGTGCAGTGAGTGGTGGCTTCAATGGCCAAATCCTATGGCTGTGTGCAACCATAATTCCATCCTTTTGATTCTGTACACACTAATTAGATAAAATCGTGGGTTCTCCCACAGCTTTTCCAGTTTCTATGGTTGCGCGCATATTTTTGGCATTTTAACGGAGTCCGAGTGGCGAGCTGCGAGTTGCAAGTTTGCCAGTTACAAGTTTTGGTGTTGCCCTGGGTGGCATGTTGCACTGTCGCGTGGTGACAAAGCAGCGTGCCAACTTCGCGCTGCAAATGGGCAACAAAGACCACATGGGGCGCATCTGATGCACTGGAAATAGAATCCTCTTAAAGTCCTTTTAGTGAAAAGGTTAAATGTTGGGCAATAAGGGATGACAATGTCACTAGTGAATCTTTTACTAAAGAGTATTATATATTATGTATTTAAATAATGATTTTTAGATTGAACATCCTAAATCCTTAACAATGTTTTGTGAGAATATCCTTTCTTTTCAATAGTTGGTACACTTTTTCCCTCTGTGTGCATGTGAGTCTATGTGCATTCGCATGAATCCAAATGGCTTTGAGGGGGTTGTCACTGGTGTGGGAGTGGTGACTGTGGGTGTGCCCAGCCCCCTTGCGACATTAGCCAGTGGTGTAGGTGGTGGTGGTGGTGGGTCTCTGTTTTCGTGGTTATTTCTTCGACGGGTGCTACATGCCAGTTAATGTGTGGACAAGGGATCGGGCCAGAAGCGGGTTGTATGGATAAACTTGAACGCAGCAATAACAATACGAAATAATGCGATGGGGTTAGGATTGAGCCAAAATAAAAAAAGAGCAATCGATTTATCCGACTTGCCCTCCGCGGTGGATCGCTGTCAATATATTGTTGCACCGCCGAAATGGGGTGCCATATACACCTGAACAAAAACCTATACAGTTGTTGTACAAAGAATGTATATAAAGAAACTTTAAATACCTAGATAATTTTTTAGTTATAAATAAAAATAAATAAAGATTAAAGTACAATACAAATGTTATTGAAAAGCAATAAGAAGGTTTCTTGTTTTAAAATATATTGTTCTTTGTGTTTACAAATATACTATTTATTTTATTTAAATTATTATATAAATATAGTTAATTATTTACTTGAATTCAAGCCAAGTTATTGAATTTCTTTAGGAGTAGTTTATTGTTTTGCGTTATTTGTAGGTTTGTTTATTAATCATTTAAGCAATCACCTATTTATTCAATTTATTAAAAATCCATTAGTTCCAGGCTATTTATATACTATTATTCCGTATATAGATTGTTTTATAGCAAAGCCAAGCATAATAGTACACATTCTGTAGTATTTTTAGCTTCGTCCTATTCCCTGACCCCATTATTATGAATGGCTTTTCTTCAAGTGAAACTTCAGCTCCTGCGGCTAAGATCCTTCAACCAATTCTGCTGAGCGTTGCCATTTCTTCATTCTTTTGCAATGTTTTTCCCCTGTCTGTTTTTTATTATTTGATAAATGATTTGCAATTTTTGCCTTTTGAACCGAGGGCGTTCCAAGGCTTTGTCACTCATTTATGTACGTATGCATGTAAGCGCACACACGCTCTCTGAATTATGTATATGGGAAGAATCATTGCCAGCGGAATTTATGATGTCATTATAATAAATTTTATGCGTGCCTAGACAACATTCCCAACGACTGGCGACTGGAACCGGCAAAAGTTGTCCTCGATGTAAACGTTGTTGCTGCTGTTGCTGTTGCTGTTTCATCAACACTTGGCCAGCATTTCACTCTCTTGGCTGATTGCTATACTTTGTCGCTGTTGGTGTTGCTGTGACACAAAGTATCTTGTATCTGCATGTTCTGGCTGGAACCAGCAACTCCTTCTGCTCAACATCCAACAACTGCCAACTGTCTAACTCCCTGTCTCCTCCGTACAAATGCAGTGCACTTACTGCAAAGGAAATTATGAATAGGAATTTTTCTGTTGCACACTGGGCTCTTCCAGACAGTGATGTCAGCTTGGAAGTTTTCATAAAAGATATATTTTTTTTAGGTTTGTGAAACTCCTAGAACTTCATTTCGAATAATAAAAGAGCCTAGAATTCTTAAATAATATTAACAGAAACTTACAAAAGCTTTTTTAATAGAGTTCGCTGCGAAATTAAGGCAAAACCAACCAAAATTTTAACTAATCCTGTATGAGTATACATTTTTCAAGCCCATGAAGGTGATAGTTTCTAATTTGTTACTCCCTTACATCTAAAAATATTCCTTTGTGTTATTAGGTTTCGTTTAGAAATATTGCCAGTATTATTGACAAGTTTTCGGGAAAGATCCCTTTATACCCTATAATACTTATAATTTATACACAAACCATTTTATTTTATAGGTTCTATAGAATGTCAAAATCCTCTTTCTTATATTTTTCTTTAAAAATTATCATTTCTTTCCTCTCTGGCATCTCTAAAACTAGCAGTGAGATGCAATAAGGGAATCCTAGAAGGAAATCAGTTGTCACTGACGCAGCTGGACCCCTTACATATGCATAAGGACATGGCTCGACATTCTTCTTTGTACATCTGAATGTCCTGTGCACGATTGTAACATTTTTCATTGCAATTACGGTTGGGAGTGTGGGGCGCTCTATGGGGATCTACAGTGGTAGTCAAGTATATATATATCTGTATGCAGGCCCGACAAAAGTGTTTTATGGCAACAAAATCTCAGCTGGAGTTGTGGGCAAAGTGCCAGGAAAAAGCTTTCACTGGCTTAGTTTGGATACTACGTGCCTCTAATGGCGATGACAATGATCATTACTGCCATCCTGCCACTGATGACGATATTAGTATTGAGGCTTAGAGTGTGTTGAAAGGATTTAGAGAGGAGTGTTGGAAAATTTAACATTTTTTGGGAATTGTACTAATCAAAATAAATTGGGAACCTTAAGTTTTTGAAGTTAATGAGATAAGTTGATATATTGTAGAAGTAATATATAATACTCTTAATTAAATTCAATCTAATAATGATTTATATACCATAAACTATAATTTGAAACCTCTGCAAGTTCATTTTTCATAGTTTTATGCATATTGAAAACTTTACAGCAAACGTCCTCGTGTCTGTCAGCGTTAATAACTTTAATTCCAAAGGGCCCACGAGTCATTCCCTTTTACCCACAACAATGAAAATGGATATATCTGCATACATATGTGCTCGTTTATTCATATTGTCGGAGGGCATTGGGGTTTATCTAAACAATTCCGCATCTCTTTTGCGACTTTCTCTCTGTCTTTATTCCCGTTTCTATTGTAGAGCCACAGGAACAAGAGCAGCCAGCCACACAAAATGCTTTTTAATTAAAAATAATATCAACATTAATTGAAATGCCAGGACGCCAGAGTCCTTTGGCATAGGGCACAGAACTAAAAGAGTTAACTTATTGTTAAATGAAGTGAATATCTATTTTTATCAGCTAAATGCATTTTCCATTACCTTGCAAATTAAACACTGAGCCGTTTAACATCTTAGACGATAATTCACTTAGCTTAGATGATCATTTTCTTAGTTAGTTCGGTTCAGCCAAGTAAAAACCAGGCCAACACAATTAGCCCCAAACGCCTAAAGGCCAGCCAGGCTGTCTGCTTGGCCACTTCATTACCATAAATAGATAGTTATATGTTATGTTATGTGAGTGTGTGCTTATTTTGTCAAGTTGCCAAGGCTGTAAAGAACCAAGAATTATATATATTAAGTCTTGTATGCAAACTGCGACCTTATTTTATAAGCTGGTAACTATTAATTGGAAGTCATGTAGCTCTCGTCACAAAACTCATTTGCTTTGAATTTATTTTTATTACAACGTACAGTGGAATCTGAAGTTTATGTAATTATAAATTAAATTTCATCAGAAATTATATGACGTAAAAATAACATAAACAACGATAAATAACGATTTAAAGAATACAAATGCCCGAATTTTGTTTCCTTTCTTGTTATGTATCTTTTTGATTTATTATTAAAAATTTTTATTCAAAATACAAATGGAAGCTTTTATAAATATCTATTCGCTAAGATTTATTCATTTGTTTATTTTTGGCAATAATTTAATCTAGGCAAGATTTTCTATATATTCTCATAGACCATTTTCCCAGTTTGGTTCGAAGACTGAATACAGTAAAATGTATAGCATACTTCTTAGGGTGCCCCAATATCGTACAAGGAGACCGAGGAATGTTCTGTTGTATACTCCCCTCTCTGTTCCTCAATCTGTTTCCTTCTCTGTTTCTCACTCTGTTCCCCTCTCTGTTCCTTCTATCCCCTATTTCCATTTCCATCAGCCTACTCACCACTATTTGTGTGTGTCTGTGTGCTAAGCGAACCATATTTTATTTGCCAATGGACGGACTAAAGCTAAGGAGCTGGGCAAACATTGCATTATCAGCGCTATAAAATCGGACGCAGACAGTTACTCGATATATGCATATGTATGGTGGGAGCGGTGTAGGAAGTCTGCGAGGGGGGATAAGAGTTGTGAGTTTGAGGGGAGAACTGAAACTGTCCAAGTGCTCAAATGCCTTGTCAAGCAAATGCATATGACACATGTCAGGCTCGTGGCTCCAGGCTCGCGAAGTGTAAAGCTTCATTAAGTTAAACATGCTCAGATACACTCAACACACACTCCCACGCATACAAAAAGGTATGCACAGTGGAGCAATCAATAAGCTATTGTCTATGAATTTAATAATCATGTTTTTGTTAATTTTAAGAAATTTAAATTTTACTCAGTGTAAGAAAAAACTATGTTTAAAATCGGCAGGAAGGTAATTAAAACATTAAATAGATCTATTCAGTTGTTCATACTGATCAAGAATATATATATGAGCTGCTTCCTCATTATCCAATTTATTTACATTGGCCAGGTGATATTTTTGGGGTCGGAGGCTAATCACTATCACTACCACTATCTTTAGAGATGTTAACACTCGGAAGGCCGCGGACGAAATGCGGTCAGTGCGGCCGGTAGGGCCTGTATTTATAGCAAAGAGTAAGGGGGAGAGCAGAGAAAGTGAGAGCGCTAGAGAGGAAGAAATATCTGTACAGACAGGCAGAGAGAGGTTGAGAGAAAGAGATCTATAGAGGCAAACAGAGAGAGATAGAGAGGGTTAGCAGGTGGTACTCTTTTATTTCTATGAAAATATTGTCTTGGCTTGTCTCTAGATGCTAAGTAAGATAATTATTGTAATAATTAATAATATGTAATAAATCTTATATCAGAATAGGAATTATACATTTTCTATTTATAAATGTCTTACTTTGAAAGCGAATATCAAATTTCAAGTTATTAGTTATTTTTAATTCAAGTTATTATTAATTCAAATAAAACCCAATCTTATCAAGCTTAAATCTTATTTAAAAATCCATTTCGACACACAGTGCGTATGCCTGTCAGGTGGATAGAGTTTGTGTTTTCGTGTGTGCAAGCTTGTTGACAATCATGTGACAGTAAATACTTGGTCGTTCGTTTTTTAACTCATTATTCCCTCTTCTTTTCCCGTGTTTCGTTTTTTATGCAGGAACTACTCACACACAACGAGCAACGAATAAATCGAACTTGCATTTTTATATCGCATTTTTGTATGGAACCAAATACGGAACGTGTTCAGCATTGACCAAATGCCATCGCAGCAACCAACTCGAGCCATACGAGTCCCAGAAAACAGACGGCAATTAATAGAAGTTGCCTTTTGAACGACGAACCCCACCCAAAGGCGAGAGGAACGTGAGGAAAGGACGCAGGATATTCCCCAATCGGATCCCCACTAATAAATGCAGTGGAAGAAGAAGTTTACTCGATTGAAAGCAGCTACTGGAAATTCGCGTGTGCGAAGAATGCTTTGTTGTGGACGTAGAAAGGTAAGAGAAACAATACTTTTTTATAAAGAACTATTTAAAAGGGGAAATATGTGAAGAGGGTGGGTATCGCAGTTTAATTGACAGTTAATATTAATTATAATTTAAAGTTCAAACTTCACTAGATGTGCTTTCTAAAATAACTGAACATTTTAACTTGGCACTTAACCTTTTAATTTTGACATTTTAAGGGAAACCTTTGTCACATATAATTGTGAAGAATTTAATTAATGAGGTATTTTAGGGGTGTGACAGCTTTAATCTTTTTTTACCCCCAATATAGTTGGGTTAATTATTATAAATAGTTTGGGAACTTATATATAGAAATAATAATGGTAAGAAAGAAGTATAATTAGTCAAATTATTTGGAATACCTCATATTTAAATAAAGTCTCAGCAAGTTTGCCAGAATAAAAGGGCTTCGAGGCAGAAGATTCAAAATTATGGGCCTTACGTCATTCGTTTAACTGCTTTCGCCATCCATGATGTCACGAACTTAAATTTTCTGGTCTATACACTGATGATGCATGTATGCAAAGTAAAAAACCTATTAAAAATAGATATATACGTTAACAATAATTGGGAGTTAAAATGATTGTTCTTGCATTCCGCCTGAGCATGTTTCAATAAAAATAATGGTTAAAGGGATATATATAATAAATGTAAACTTTATAGAACCAAGGGTATTTATTTAAAAATTCAAACTTATAGAATAAAATCAAGTCCCATTTGTACCCATTATAAAATATATTATCCAATAAAATCAATTTTTTTTTTTTGTATTTATAATGATCCTTTCTCCAGCTTTGATTTCCTCAGGAAATTGACGAAATGTATATCCTATTGTTTTACCTTTTCCATCATTTATCTGCTGTGGTCGTCCTTGGCGGGCCAATTAAACCGTGACTGAGCAATCTTTTAAGGAACATTATTCTCTCTCTCTTTTTACCAACATAAGTGCGGGAAAACTGGCTCAATCTGTCAGTCAATTGGGGAAAACAGGCTTCGTACCCGCCCCGTCCTCGTCACCTTCGTGTCTGCCATAATAAATTTACATTTTACGCCTGAATTTCAATGAAGGCTTAATTGCAAAATCTGATTTATATGCTGCCGTTGCCTTTACCATTGCCCCACACAAGGCGTATATGGAATGGATGTTGAGTATGGGGATTTTCTGGTGAAATTTTCATGGGACGATGGCTAACCACCACCTTTGAAATGGGCGGACGGAGGTGTTTACATACAACATGTTTCTCCACTTTTTAATGCAAGCGATACACACTCAACATACACACTCAACATACACACTCAACACACACACCACACCAGGCGACAAAATTAAATTACTAGCCACACGTGCGGCATGGGGCATACCATCTATCGGACTTTAATCAAAGTTACCGCACAGTTTAATGCAATTTTTGAAATGAACTCCCGATTGAATGCCGAGTAATTGGGCTGAACAAAAGGGGTTTAATCCCGCTGCCCGACAGCACTTAATTTGATTGGGACCCAGGGCTCAGTGGAATGGATAAGAGTATTTGCTCGGTTGCTCCCACCTGGCAGTCACCTTCATTCCTCCATGGGATTGCCCCTTCATTAGGCACCTAACTGAGCAAGGTGCTCCTCTAGATTGTATTTAAGTGCCAATAAGCACTGCCAGAGAATAAGCAATATAATAATTATTTATTTCATGTAGTCAAGTGCAGTTTTTGCTTGTATTTAATGAATTTAAATATTCTAGGGATACATTTAGGTTTGTTAACTTACTAACTTTCACTGTGTCTTGATCTTCCTCGTTTTATATGATGAATAAGTGGATAATCCATCATTCATACTTTTAAAAATACATATATCATGACCTATAGGTCCCAAGATCCCTAAAAGCTACATAGCTTCTATAATTAGAATTACTTTACACCTATTTTTTCCCGAGTGTAATCCTAGTAAAAGCCACCATCTCTAGCCATCTTGTAAGAACTTTGAGCGCCAGCCAGCCGCTTGGAGAAACTTTATGATAAAGTCCTTGCGGATAAGTCCTTGGAGATGCGGTTGCCGGCGCATTTAGACCGCAGCCACGCCCTATTCACACACACTACCACCGTTCCTGTTCCCCCCCGTCTTTCCCTGACACTCCTGGCTGTTTGTTTTAGTTATAGTTGATTATTTTTCTTTTTGCCGCGCTGCAAACTTTGACTTTGGCTCCCTGACATCGGAAAGTTTAACAAATAAATTAATTTACCCGCTGCACCGACAACCAGCCAAGATGAAGCTGCCATCTTAATCGTCCCGCGGGCCTGGCCTGCCAAGGAATTCAATTTGCACTGCTCCTCGATTCCCTTTGAAAGCTGAGAATCCTAGGGATTTCAAGGGATGTGCCCTGAAGCATCTTGGCTTTGGGAGAAATAATAAATAAGTTTACCAAAATATTTATTTAATTAAAAGTAATAATAAGGAGCAAAACAGATTATTTCGAAAGCAAAGAACTATTAAATATTCAAAGCTATGTTAAAAAGTGAAACAATTTAAAGGGAAAATATTACCTATATTAATGGTAATATGCATTTATTTTTGTTAAAGTTTCCGTTAGGGTATATCGAGTTCGTAGCATCTTTTAAAACGCATTTAAATTGCATTTCTTGTTTGGCCTTAATAGCTTGCCTTGGCTTTAATCAGTTTTGCGCCAGGCTCTGTAAATTGATTTGTTAAACAATTTTTAATTGAAATAAGACGCTGCCGGGCAGAATGTCAAACTTTTCTGCCAATACTTTGCCAGCAGGCAGTCGCTTTTCCGCTTTTCCGGTTCTCTGCCGTACTGCTTCTTCGCCCAGCTGCGCTGTTTCGCCCTTCCGCTTTTCCGCTTTTCCTGGCACTTGCAAAAACTTGGTCAAGTGAGACGCGTTGGCATTTCTATTGGCATACGAGTGTTGACTGGCAGCCAAACAGGCAATTGCACTTGCACCGAGGGAGGAGCGTTGCGGGGGAGATTGAACAACCAGAAATCAGCATATTGAATTACAAATTGGAGGGGTTTGCGAAATCGAAACCATTCAATGGGATTGTTTTGTGCAGCATCCATCCATCCGATTTTCCGTGTGGCAGATGCACTGGCAGTTGCAGTTGCTGCATCTGCAGCATCTCTCTTTTTTTTAGGTTTTTGGTGGAATTTCAATAAATTCCGCATGCCGCGTCAGGCAGTAAATTATTTTGATTTATGTGCAACATTGCATGAGTGATGGAAAGTGGCAGCACATTGCCTGCATTTGAAATTTAATTGAAAGTCTGACTGACAAAGGCGGTTTTCCCCAATAAATTCATATTAAATTTGAATTAAAGTGCGATAAATATATATGATTGTCGCAAAACCTAAACGAATTTAATTCTCTTGGTAAGCTTAAATACATTGGAAATAAATTGGGAGAAAATTGATAAAGATTAATACAAATAAAAAACAAATAATGGGTTGCATAAATTGGGGAAAATCAATTAAATTATTACTGATTGAATATAAAATAATAATATTAACAAGAAATAAATCCAAAAAAAGCAACTTTGTTAGAAACACACAAAAAACTACAAGTAGACTGATTCTGTGGTTTAGAATTCTATCTTAGATATATATAACAGAAATCCAAACTTATTTTGCTTAACAATTTCTCTTAAACCTAATTATTTATAACCAAAGTTTATATTTAAGCTTCCTTGCTTAGATTTTCTTTCACATTTCCCGAGTATACAACTTTAAAATGTTGTTTTAGTTGACAAAACTATGGAAATAAATTGATGGAGTACTTGCTTTCTCAGTTGCTTAAATGATTAGTTGCCTGGGAGGATGGTGAATGGAAGTTTATGAAAATAGTTTGCGGTTTTGTGGCCATCGGCCCCTTGATGTATTCGCTGGATGCTTTTGCGGAAAGTTTTCCACCAACTTGTTTGCCATGCAGCGGCACGTTTAGTACTCCGAAATGGCGCAAGATGATGGCATAAAGCATCCCCAGCCCAGTCCCTATCCCTATCCTGTCTGCTTTAGGCCTTGGAGTCCTGTCGAGTGCCATTCACAAATAAATGGCGGGCATTTAGGCAGCCGCAGTCTAGAGTCTATGAGTTTTTCTTCCCTTCTTGGAGTCTTTCTTCATCGGCTGTGTTTGAGTTTCAGTTGCCTGGCCACCTTTTGAAGCTGCCAACAACAATTGGGGAGAAGTCGCAGGCAGGAAACTAGGGAACTAAAAGGGACGACTGGCACAGCATTCTTGGCTCAATGCAGATAAGGATATTGCCACAGCTGGAGCGGGAGTAGGAGCAGGAGTAGGAGCATGAGAAGGAGCAGCAGCAGGATCTGCAGATGTAGATGAATATAAAAATGGTGTTGCATGCACTTGGGGAAATGATTTATAACATAGACAAGAAAGGAATGGCAGCAAATAAATTTATATTAGATATTACAGAAACAATTCGATACATACATCTATATTTTAACCTTGTAAAATACGTACGTTAATTTTAAATCCTTTTTCTAACATTTTTCAATAATTGCTACATTAACGAAATTTGATATATTTTAATTTACGACATTTTATATATGATATTCAGCGCCAAATTGTGGTTAGAATTATATGAGACATCTTTAGATACATGTTTTATTGAGTTTACTTAATACTTAACATCAAATATTAAGTAGTTATAGATTAATCTCTATAAATAAAAAATAAAACCACTTTCTAATGTCATAAAACTAAAGAAATATGTATAAGCTTTTTCATAGATACTTTTCCCGCAGTGCCCGTTTTCTTTTAGATACAAAGCAGAGTCAGAAAGTTTTCGCCAAGACAAACACTGGCACAGCATTTCTCCTTCCTTACTTTCTTCAAATACTGCAATCGCTTTCTTTTTCCCGTCTCGTCCTTTGCAATTTGTTCACCAGAAAAAGCGTTTCTGCCTTGCTGCACTTCCTGGCATCCCAAATCACCCCCCCTTCGCTATTGTTTTAGTTGCCAAATCACTTT